GAGCTTTCTCATATTTACCCAGGTATTCCTGTTTCTCCTTGGCCAGCTGCAGGCCCTGAGCCTCCAGGCTCTCGATCATGGCCTCCCCGAGTTGCGAGTTCTTCCATGTCCTGACCGCCGACATGGAGGAATTGCGAGGAGGAGGAAAAAGATTCAAGACCCCTGACATAATTTGGTTGACCACTTTGATCCCTGCAGAGGGCCTTGAGGTACTCACACTTTCCCTGATTCCTGGAGCATCTCTATCCACTGGACCTGCTCCTCCTCAGACTCAGCAGCCAGGACGATGGTACCCTGGGGGCGGACGTAATGCACGCAGCGTCAGCTCTGAGCCGGTAATGGCTTCCAGATTATAAACATTGGATTCCTGTCTTTGTCTTTGATGGGGCAGTAAAATACTGAAGTCTGGGATCGGAGAGATTGTTTATCATTATTATTATTATTATGAAATCAGGTGGAGATTTACATGTTTGCTTCAACTCTTAAAAGTTAAAACAGCAAGGCGAGAGTCGGCCTGCCGCAAAGAGTAACAAATCAATTAAATGCATGATGAGTTAAAACAAGCTCAATACGTTCCATTTGAATAATTCATCGTCTTTCTCTTTTTTCTTCCTACCGTCAACTGGATGTCAAAAGTCCTCAGTCTGGTACGTTTGGCTTTTTCGAAGGACAAGTTTGTTTAGAGAAGCTTTGTAATTTGAAGTGTGACCAATAGGCAAAACGAGACATAATATAATATGTAGCCAAAAATGAGACAAAATCACCCATTGTATAGTAAAACACTGAAACGAGGCCAAATTACACAAAGTACAGGACGAGACCGAAGGACACGTAGTATATTACATTGCAAATCAGATAAACTGACACATATTAGGAAGTATGAAGTCAAGAATGTGGCCATATGACAACTACATGAATCTTTCTGTCGTCCATCTGTGAAACTTTTCTCCAGAGGACATTTGGCTCGTCCACATTTGCAGATGAACGTTGCCTTAAAGCTGCTGATATTTGGAAAACGCACACGAAAAACCGAATTTACTCCGTGGTCTGACGTTTGTATTCCAGTCACTTCAAGTTCATGATTTCGTCAATCATCCCAATCGATCTTTCTCGACCTTTACGGAGACCGCTTTGGGCCAGGCGGTTTGAAAAAGCGATTGAAAGTTGCCTGGCGATAGGCTGAGGCAGGCTCTGGGTTGGCTCCTGCCTCCCCCCTTGGTGGAAACGTATGCATTGTGCTCAATAGCCAGGTAGGCACCAGAAAACTTAAATAAACCAACTGTGACAGGAACTCAACAAACAGGAGGATACATCTAACACAGAGAGAACTCAGTCCTACTGTGAAATCTTCAAGGTTGACCACAATGGCAAAAGGCATCCCCATGTCCTCGTTGGCTGACACCACGCATCCTCCCAGAGGGATGACTCCCTGCCACAGGAAACAGACCGAGTGTTTTGGTTTTTTTTTTTTTTTTAGGAGGACGTGCTCAGAAAGTCGGCGGCGGCCGTCGCCAGGCGCTTCGCTCACCTTGGGATGGATGTTGAAGTACCTGTTGCTCTCGAAGCTCCTCTTCTCGCTCTCTGCGTAGTAGAGCAAGAAGCTGTCTTTGATGATGAAGAACCTTTTGCACCGAGGAGACAGCGAAAGCAACGGTGAGGAGTATGAACGCCTTGGAATATGACCGAAACACTAAAAAGCTTGCGCTTTAGAAAAATATCAGATTAACGGTAATCTCTCGAAGCTGACGAGTATGGGCCGCACCAACACCAGAACCTCCAAAGTAAATAATCTCCTGTGTTTCGGCCATTAGTCCAGTTAGGCCCTTTGATTGAAACTCCTGCACTTGGCGAGAGAGCAACCGGATTTTGCTTTGGGCTTTGACTAGGCCACTCTAAAGCCGCACGTTTACAGCTGCTGATCCAAAAATGTTTAAATGGGACGTCTTTATGGCTTCCTTTCAACAAAAGCCTTCTTCGACTTGAGTTGCGTATCCCCGCAGCCATGATGGGTTTTTTTAACCCACTTTCTTCTTACATTGTTAAATTGTGACAATATAAGAAGTCAAAATGGCACAACTTAATAACTGACATCAGACATCATTCAGCAAAATACTACAAAGTAACAAGACTGGCGGTGTGTTTATAATGTTATGGCTGAAAAGTGAAAAGTTTTTTTTTTATAATTATTATTTTATTAGCGCAATCTCTTGAGATTCAAACAATCATCTTTGAACACAGACACTCAGAGATGTCTGGAAGACATAAAACTAACTTGCACGTAATTTTTCAGCACAATATAGGAGCTTGTTTTAAGTCAATAATTCCTTTATAATACCTTAGCACTGATGAGAACGTACTAGCTTCAAGTGATCAGAACTCGAAACAAGATATTTTTCCCTTATAATAAGTCCAAATACCTTGTTCCAAAGACAGACTATGTCAGTAACAACTGGTGCTTTTTCATCAATATTAAGGGATTATTGACTTTTAACAAACTCCTGCATTGGGCTGAGAATTTACTTGGAAGTCAGTTTTGTCTTATTCCAAATATATTTGCACTGAAAACTAGACCAAAAGGAAGATTTTATGTTTTTTGCAGGTCACATGTTTCTGGAGCAAAATAAGGATTTTGACTTAATATGGCGCTTAGATTGAAATTACATTTCTTTAAGTAAAGAATTTTTTTAGATGCTTTTGAGTTGCCTTAATATGCAGTGCCAATATAGGATTTAGCCAACTACCTGAAATAACCCAGAAAAGCGAGAGAGAGAAAGAGAGAGAGAGAAAGAAAGAGAGAAAAAGAGAGAGAGAGAGAGAGAGAGATCACTGCAAAACCCACAATAAACAGAAAGGTTGTGAGAGGAAACCCAAAAAAGCAACTAAAAGTCTCTTTTTCCACCTTTAGGCTAAAAATGTTTGCTTTTACAGCACAAACATGGACTCTGGCATTATTTTAACCCTAAAATGTTTTTTTTTTATTTATTTAAAGAAAAAGAAAGAAAGTCAATACCGTGAAAGAATAAAATATTTTACCTATAATTTTATGGTGGAATTCTGGGAGCCACGACAACCGTGAGATTCACGTTTGTTTGTTTGTTTGTTTGTTTGTTTTTGTTGTTTCTTCTTTTCTTTTTGTTTTTACAGTGCCAGTGCTCCCCCTCCCCACCTACCTCTCTCTCCTCCACTCACCTGCGGGACCACTTGGCCGACGGCCGTCCGAAGGGTCTCTTCCACAGCACGCCGTGCAGCTGCACCTTGGTGCTGATGTCCAGCGCTTCGGAGTCCGACTGCTCCATGGACGTCCAGGGTGACAGCAGAGAGTTTCTGGATGAAGATGAGAACATCCCCCTGGACAGAATCCCCCTCGCCCTGGGAGGAGGGGCCAAAAATAAAAAATAAAAATGTAGATATAAATATAACAACAACAAAAAGTGTTGCACAGTCTGTCAATAACAATTAGTCCAACAGCATTCGACCAGAAACAGACACGCAGGGATCCTGCAGGCGCGTCCGGATGAACTCAGCGGGCCGGAATGATGCAGCTGCCAATACGCTCATCAGCTGGAGGCGGACAGACTCCGCGCCGCACCGCACCGCACCGCATCGCGATGCGCCGCGGGAGGGAGGGAGAAAGAGAGGGAGGGAGGGCGGCTGAATCTGACGCCGCTCGATACGGTCCGGCCAGTGAGAGCTGTTATTGAGATTACAGCTGCCGGCCGGTGTGACCTATTTTCTCTCTCTCTCTCTCTCTCTCTTTCTGTCATTTATCATCATCTGCTTCCTCTGCGTGTTTCAGAAGCAGCGACTGGTGAGGAGGAACATCTGCTTGTATGGCGGGACTTTCTAGGAAAAGGGAGCGCAGAGGCTTGACCCGCAGCCTCGGAGTCATCAGCAACAGATTGAGAGCAGAGCGGCGGACTGGACGGATCCTGACGGCTGATCCTCATCCGGGACGGGGAGACGCACGAGCCGCACGAACCGGACAGAGAGGACCGGTGTCAGAGTTATACAACTTTGTCTATTTGTTTATGTTGATTTAAAATAATAATACTAATAAATAACCATGTTAAATTGCAATTTAATGTCGTTTCCCGTGATTTTATGAATCACTGTCAACATTTTCAGGTGTGACGTCAAAGTCCTCGAATTTGACCTCTAACTTGACCTTCGCCAAAACTTGGATCCAGTATAATTGTAGGTAGAGAACAAATGAGTAGGAAGTAAAATAAAAAATAACACACTCAGAAGCTTTGAGATCAAGCTCAAATCTCAAAATTTCTAGATTTTTTTTTTTTTTTAGAAAATTTTGAAAAGTCAAATTTTTTCAACCAGGTTTTCTTTTTTATTTTTGTAACTTTTGACAATAATCTCAAAATATTCGATTTTTTTTTTCTAGCCACATTTTTTTACTTTAGAGACTCAGAAATGTCCAGTTTTTATTTGTAAAAAATGTAAATATATCTTTGGCGTATATTTACAAAACATAATTTCTGTCTATGAAAGCTCTAATAGGTGGTCACAGCAAACAGTTTGCCCTTCAAAAGCCACTGAATTTCAATCGGAGACAAGTGTCTCGGCAGTATTATGCAAAATCAACTTTTTCCGCTTTACATCATGTGGCATTAGTCCCTCATCAAACGCGTAGCTTCAGCATTTCCAGCGTGTTTAAGATCCTTTAATCTCCCATAGCAGCAGTTCAGCTGGGCAAAAGTAGCACTGAGAACTCCCCTACTCTGCTCCTTCAGACTAGCCAGCCACAGTTAGCAAACACCTGTTAACACGTCGTTAAAGGGTTCACAGATTACCAAGCTGAATTCTTAGAAGTCTTATTTGACATATTTTACCAACCGAAGGTAACAAACTTACTTGATCGTGCTGTAAAATGAATCTGTGTGGTTGGAAAACACAATGCTGCCCCTTTAAGGTCGTTTTAACAGGACATTTCTGAATGATGTGGACCACAAAATAATTCATACCAGGAAATAAAAAAAGACAAGAAATTCATATAGGAAAAAGTGTTTATACACATAATTTTTTTTATACTCCGTTGAGCTTGTGGAGTAAGGTCGCCGTTTTGAGCGCACAGGCTTACAGACGCGCTGCAGATGTGCTGGGTACAGTGGCACATCGACACCATACAGACAGATGAGCAGCCCGCTCAGATTGTGACGGGCTTTCGGTTTCACTGGGACTGGAGTCGAAGCAGCAGGGGCCTCCTGGAGCCGCGTTTAGGAATCGCATTGCAAGCGTTAACGCTGCGCACACCGCTTGCAGGCGTCGCCGCAGCAAAACGAAGCCGTCCAACCCCGAATCCTCACCGCGCGTTTCTGGTTTATTACGTTTTCTTCTTATTGACAGAATCGTCCAACAGGTTAAAAGTTCTTCACAGACATTATACTCTATTCTCCTGAGCTTAGGGTCCCTAAAAATGTCTCATTTTTCCCTTCCGTAAGAAACTTTTGTCATTCGAGATGCCCTCCACCTGACCTCCACGATCGCTTAAGACAAATATGTACACAATGCTTTCATTTACAGCACGTTTTACAGGGAGAAGAAACCGTTAGAGATAGAAAGTGAATCCATAAACAAAGAAATGAGCGACGTGGCAAAAGAATGGCGGCCGTCTTTAAGGATTGGCCTCTGCATGCACCGAGCAGGGAGCGGACGCAGGCGGCGAGGAGCCGTTCAGCTGTCCGAAAAGTTCGAGAGCAACGCTCGATTGACAAAGTGACGTCTGAAACCCAGAGGTTTGCAAGCTGGTCCGTCTGGGTTTTCCCCACTGGTTGTCACGGCGACGCCACCGCCGTCTTCTGCTACTGGTTTCTTTATTATGGCACTTGGAAAAAAAAAAATCAGAGGAATTTACACTTTGTACAGATATATATATATATATATATATGTATGCTTGTGAAAAATGATTTTCACAAGCAAATAAAATAAAATTAAAATAAATCACAAGCTCAACCGACACCAAATCTCACTGTACGACAACCACCCAGTTAACAAAAAAAAAAAAAGAAAAAAGAAAGACGATAAAACCGAAGTGGGAAAGTTAAACGAGCATGATAATCTAATCTGCTTGGATCTGAACGCATTAAGCTAAAAGGAAAAAAAAAATTTTAAAAATCGACGTCTCAACTTAAGATTTTGGGTAGAAAGTATGCGTATTGTGTCGACAGATAAAACATCGCTGTGTCCCCTGGTCGTCTCGTTCCGGTTGTCCATCGAGTCCCTGCAGCGACATCCGTCTGGTCCGGCAGCGAGACAATTTAAACCCGCAAGGTCTGAAGGCTCGATTCCAGCGTCTCTCCCTCTGTACACGCGTCCAGAGTCCGGCCCCCCGGGGCCCCGCTCCGCCGCTCTAATGGTGGTGGCCGACCGACAGCACCAGAGGGATGAGGCAGCCGAGAACCAGAGCGCCCACCTCCACTTTGCTCAGACCCTTCCCGCCATTGCCCCCGGCGGCGGCGGCGTGGCTGTGGCCGCCGCCGCCGACCTCGGGGAGAACGTGAACGGTGGCCACATAGAGGAAGGTGCCGGCGGAGAAGAGCATGGCCACCCCGGTGGCGTTGATGTCCGACAAGGCTTCTTTGCTGCTCTGTGGAGGGGAAATGAAAGGAAACGGGAGAACAGTGTGAAGCAGGAAGCTGAAGAATCCCATTTCCCTTTACAACACGTGAACGTGGGCAGCCATTTTTTGTTTTTCATGTTTAACTGAATTATTTTTTAGCTTTAAAGAGATTAAAAACCAATGTTTACTGTTTATATAAATAAATAGAGAACATTTCATGAATACTTAGAGACAAAGTATTTTTTCATTAAAAATAAATATGCTTTTTCTAAAATATGTGTGTCAAACCTGTCATGTTGTGACAGCATAGTGAGACAGATAATTTGCGAAAAAAATAAAAAAAAACTCCTCTGCCTGTGCTAACTAGAAACAACCAATCAGAGAAAGGGGGAGGGTCTCTACGCTGTCAATCACTCTTGTACTCATTGCTCACACACTCCTTCTTTCTCTCTCCCACAATACAGCTGGTTCACTACAACATAGCCTGTGGCGAATGCTAATGCTGGTTAGCATGGCCAAAAATAATAGTTTTCTGAGGATTTTCTGAAACAGGGGCCCAGGTGTCAACAGAAAGAAAACATTTCTATTACCAAACGGAAACCCAAACGCGGCTCACCTGACTGAGGCCTAAAAACGTGATCATGGCGAGAACGGGGGCTGCCAGGGCGAACACCAGGAGGTGTTTGCGGATGCGGTTCCTCTCGAGGCCGGCGTGCATCAGGAACGAGACCAGGCCGAAAGCCGCTGGAGCCTACGGGTTACAGGGCGGAGCAGAACCGGTCTCAGAGCAGCCATTTCTGAGCACTGAAACATCCACATGCTGACGAAGCAAACAGAAAACTCGAGAGAAGGTAGAAACGTAGCGCTATGACGAGGCCCATCACATTAGCGAATTCTGCTGGACATTAAACTGCCCCCGTAATTATTGTTATAAACAATAATATTGTTGTTTGGAGACCATTTTCAGTCAACATATTGATAATGACCAGGCAACTTTGCTCTCTCAAAGATCAATAAACTTTAACACTTAACACTGGGAGATGTTTTAAACTTCCAAAATAAATAAACAAAGCAACCAAACGCAATAAATAAATAAAAAATAAAAGCCATACACACACCAGAAACAAAAGGGATTATGTGAAAACAGCTGATTTCAATTTATGACGTGATTAACTGATTTACAGATCGTTGAGACAGGCTTATGCATAGCAAATAAATATATAATACAGATTGGAATAAGTGGTATTTATTATTGTTTTTACCTTATGTAGCATAATAGCTACAAAAACAATGAGCTGAACGCTGGTCTGAGACGTTGAGGCAGCAGCTCCTAGCGCCACTCCGTCAGCTGGAAACAAGCATCAACAACAGCGTCCATTTAGTCGATTCAGATCATCAAAACTAAAACTTCACAAGTGGAAATTGAAAACAAATAAATTGTGCTTTGATCCACTAGATTACAGCTGCAGGATTACAGGGAAAAGTAAAGGCATCACTTTACAGTAAAGCTGATAAGTTGTTCATGGATGTGTTAGCTCATCTTTAAACACTTTATGAATCAGTAATAGCTGCTTATTATGCATTAATTAAGAGTGAGAAGAAGACAGACACTACTGGTGTCTTGCCAAGTTGGTTCTTTTATCAAGAGTTTTTCTACTTAACAACCTGTAAGCACAGCAAGCATTTGTAATATTTTGACACATGGTCTCCATGCTTAATTAATGCATAATAAACAATTGATAGTGATTTGTAAAGTGTTTATAACTGGATAAGATGTATATAAACTATTTATTAGTCATCTATAAGGGGAGTCTTATTATAAAGTGGACCACTTCGGTACTATGTGCGTCTTTTGAACATCTGCATCTTTGATAGAAGATGAACTGATGACATACCTGCAGCATGGACTACAAGTCCCAGAGTAGTGGTGATTTTCGAGCTGTTGACTCTTGCCGACTCCGGATCTGAGACGGGCAACAAACATATATCTGCTTTTAGAAGACAAACTGGCACCGACGATTGCTTCTGGACGTTTTCGCCAGCTGGAGTGGCTAATGAAACGCCAGCTGCTTTGACCGGCCGGCGTTTCGCCTCGCTGACCTTCGGCGTTGTGAACGTGAGAGCTGCCTATCTGGTCCACCAGCAGCATGAAGACGAAGCCCAGCACCAGGGAGATGCCGATGCAGGCGTGCAGCTGCTCGTGGCCATGCTCGTGTTTCCCCGTGGCGTCCAGAGCCGCCCCCGCGTCCACTTTGGCCTCGGACACTTCGGCCGCCCCGGCCCCACTGTGGCTGTGGTGAGCGCCTGCAGGAAGGAGACGTGGACGGACCGGTAAACGTCAGACGTACACAAGCAGTGGGATTAAAACTGCGCAAGAAGCACCTCAGGTTACAAGCGTTACATACAAAAGTATTGACTTTCTTTTTCTTTCAACAATAAACCGCAATGTATTTTATCTATTTGATCAGATGTGATATAGCGACAAAAAAAAAAAGAGAGAGCACACATTAACAAAGTGGAAGGAAAACGATTCATACTTTTTTCAGAAACAAATTACAAACAGGAATCTGAAAAGTGCGGAATGTAGAGTTGATACTTTAACACGGCTTTTGTTAAGTTTGCATCTTCGAGTCTTTGGGGGATTTTGCCACATCTTTGCAAAAGTGAGATAAGATGGAGAGATGCGACTCTTGACTTTGACTGGGCCGTTTTAACCCTCTCCAGGCAGGTGTTGCAGATTTGCAACAACTCAGCCAGTCTTTTCAAGTAATTTGAGCCTGAGAGGGTTAAGACATTAATACGCTTTAATGAAGAGTTTGCTGTACCTATCGGGTTGCAGTCCCTCTGGAAGCTAGACCAGTTCTTTATTGTTTAATACATTGATGAGAAATTCATTTTGGGCCATATCAAGATTGACAAACTGTTAAAATATTAAGAAACAGCTGTTTCTGCTTTCAATAAGTACTTCTCAAAAGTAAATATTAAAGATCTTTTTGCATTGATCTGTCCGTCCTTGCAATTATTGTCAAAGATAATCACATTATTTTTTAGTTTGTTCCTTACTTCTTTTTTTTTTATATATATTTTGCCAATCAAAATCACAAATTTTGTGGTACCAAATTAGAAACATCTGCAAGGAAATTTGCTATATTTGCGATCATGTACTATGTTAACTTAGCAAGTAAAAGCAACAAACACTGCCACCTGCAGCCTCTTAAACCCGATGTTTCTGACAATTCCTGAGGAAAATTATGCATCAGCACAAAAGGAAAACAAAAAACAAGGAAGCACAGAAGCCACTGAGTTGGTCTTCCAGTCTCTCTACCTTCAAGGATCTCTTCATAAAGTGCGTGAACCCCCTCGGGAATGATAACAGCCAGCGCTGTTCCACAAAGCAGCCCTGCTCCCAGCACGGTGATCAGCTTCAGTTTCTCCTGAGGAAAAAAAAAAAGAAAACACACACACACAGTCACGAAGACAAACACTATTCATCCAGTCGTTATGAAGAGTTTCTGATGAGGGGGGATCAATACTTTTGGAGCTGAAAGGGGTCGTTGTTGTATTGTTCCGAGATTTGTTCGAGACTTACCTCCGAGAAGTTGACAGCAAGAGGTATCGTTCCGGCCACGTAACATCCCACCAACATCGCAAGAGACAGCAGGCTGATCGAGCTGAAATCGTCCATGGCTGCACTTTTCCTTTTTCAGCTAGCCTACTGCTAAACCATCAAAGTTCAACTTTTAGCGCAGAACGTGAAGCTTTCACGGTTCACCACCATGCCCTGGGCGCAGCCACTCCTCAAGAAGGGTTGATAATTTAACAGGAGTCCACGAATAATGGTCTGTCGGACTCCAAAACAAACACAACTATCAGGAACACTGCAGCCTCTTTGGCCTCAATAGCGACGCTAATGCTAACTAGCTTCAGTTAAATATCCGACTCACGGGCTTGACAAACAAAATAAAACTGCAGTGCTGCTACGTCAGTCCTCCATTGCGCTGCTACAATACGTATCTTTTCCAGTTTGGGTGTCTGGTCAAAAATTATACTGCGACTTCTTGAGGTGTTTAGCAGGAATCAACAAAAAAGAAATGCTAACAGAACATCCGCTTGTTTAAGTGCCTGCCAAGTACTTCCGGGTCACAAATCGACCGCAGAGGTTGCCACGTACCTGCGAGACTCGCTGGAGGAAGAAGAAAATTTAAAGCGATGGATTTATGCAAAATGTTTTTATTGTATCTTTATGTTTTTGAAAAGAATTACAAATAACGCAAACGCTTTAAAAATGTTATTCGATGAATATATTCACAGTTAATCTATCATTAAACGTAATAAAGTTTATTAGTAATAAACGTAATAAATTGTTCATTATTAATAAATTGAATAAAGTTTATTAAACTTAAGTTAAAATTCTTAAACTTTAATAATTAATTATTAAACTTAATGACGTTAATTATCAACTTAATTAAATAAGCTAATTAATAATCATTAATGAACTTTAATATGAGAAATATTTTATTTTTAATTTATTTTTAAAAAAATGTGTGAATTCATAAGTTCAAGTCAATAGTTCATCTATACTCATGAGTGTGAATGTCTTTGGAGCTTTAAATAGTTTAGTTTAAACCAGCACATTTTAAACTAGGCATTAAATTAGAATTTATTTAGAATTGTCTCTATTGCCAAGTACTTCCCCACTTTGGATACATTTCCATTGTCATGGGGGGAGACACTTTTTAAAGCTGCTGACAGGATAATTCCAGATATTTTCAGGCAGAATTGGTAGAATTCAATACATCAGAGCTTTCCAAGAAACGCATCGACAGCTTAATTTATCTCAATCTCAACCTACTGGAAGAGGCTTAAAAGCCAGGACCGTTCCAGAAATTCAACATTTTGGAGGTCAGAAGATGTATGATTTCTCTACAATTTGCAATTTTCTAAATATTAGATTGTATGTATTTGAGCTTGTATGTATAATGATACTCTTGTTTTTGTAATTCAAAGAAGCTGCTGCGTGATACTTAAATCTTTAAAAAAATATAAAAAAAATAAAATAAAAAAAAAGAACAATTCAAGAACTTTATTGAAAGTCCAAAATAAAAGAACGCCTGCGAAGACTTGATAGACATCCAACTGGAACTGGGTCAGATTTTGGATAGTGTTTTTCTGTTAAATCAATGCATATATCAAGTTTTAAATGTGCTGAAAAACAAGTTCAACTGACCATAAAACATCAAAATTTGCCAAAAATATTATTCTAGAAATGTCAGGTTTGCATTCTTACGAAGCCCATCAAGCACAAGACGACAGATGCAGTCAAACTGACCTCCATTTCCATTGGGTGGAAAAGATGGCCAACCTTTAGGGACAAAAACGAGACCAAAAACAAACTCCAAACATTTAAACTTTTGTTTTTATTTTATTTTTTTTAAAAAGCACGTTTATTAGTTCACCTGTCAGGGCAGAGCTTTCACAGAACACTAGCAAATCAAAGCAGTATGTACAATGTTCAACAACCTGGAGAGCAGGCAGTGAAATGCAACTGCCTTCACCTCTAACAGTGCCAAAAGAAAAACAAAACAATAAAACCAAATTTTTACCATGCTTGAGGTTTGTGCAAACTCTCTGCTCACAAACTGGAACCTTACGGACACATACACTCACACAGACAGGCATACGTACAAGGTAGCAGCTCCTTGCAGGTGGAATGGAGAGGAGTAGGAGCACGTATTTACAGAGGACCGGAGGACAAACTCTAGCTAGCTTCAGTGAAAGCTCGGGGGTTTCAGTCTTTTACTTCACCAGTCCAATCTTCTTGGCTTCTGTTTCATAAATGAGCAACCTCCACATTTTTACTATGAAGACTTCGGCTTCTTCATCGAGAACCTGAAACGAAAACTTGAAGAGTTACCCAAACGAAACCGGCAGTTCTGCCAAGACACATTTCGAGGTTTCTCCGACATTTAGGAATCTTAAAGCGCAAAGTAGGAAGGATTTCTTTTGAGTGAGACTTCTAAATTGGGCGGTCTTTTAAAAGGCTAAGTTGCACCACTTTGTTGGCATGTAAATCAATATCAGCTGTCAAGATGTGATATTTTTCAGAAGGGTTGGGCGATATGAACTTAAAATGTTCTCACGATATTTTGTGGTACTCTTGCGGAAACGATAAAAGTGGCGACATGTATTTTTTTATGTAGCTGGATGACTGCATAACACAGCAGCCACAGCCAAACTTTTGAGAAACATTTGTCATATATGACTTTTGTATGGCACCGGTCGCATAAAGGAGTGCGACCTGTTTCACTCAACTGCACACGGGAAATGGACTTAATCATTTTTACATTTATTGATATACCTTTATTAAACAAATGGTGGATAAAAATAGTTTTAGGGGTATTTAAATGTCACCGATTGGAATTTACTTTAATGACGATAAATCACGATACATGATAAACGATACAATAAATACCCACCTCTATTTTTGATTGGCGCCACTTTTATTCTCTTTAAAAAGCTAGCTGTTTCATTGCTCCTTTTTTAGGTCTTGATGAATTTGAGAACCAAAAGTTCACTTCAAAATCCTGATTTAAATAAATAACACTGTGGTTGAAAGAAACATTTTAAAGAGCAGTTCAGCCAGGAACATAAAAATAAAAAAAAAAACCCTCCAAATATTGATGTCTAAAATGATAAAATCCACTTTTTATACTCAACATAATTAACTCTTCCTATTTAAATGCCTTTGTAATGAGGTACTTGAAGTGTACGGTATCAATTTACTTTCTTATGAATTGAGTACAGAAGTAGATAAATCTCACAAATATTTTAATTAATTGCATACTATTTTCTAAAAACCTTGTAGTATACAGCCAGTTTCCATTTATTCTGCTACTGATCCATGTTTGGACCATCTGGCTCTTATGAAATATAACAGATTATGATCCCTGGCCAAACCCCTGTAGCTCTAAGTGACCTTCTGCTGGCGTATTTAATTTATTCATAGTATTAAAAGCCAGTTTTTCAAATGGATAACTATGAGCGGACTGTACAGTCGGTAGAAAATGTCTCGCAGCAGATGACTCCAATAACTAAAACTCCAGGCAAAAAGAGTGAAATGTCCCGCATCAATCACTGAACTGGATATGGATTGTTTTTTTTCGGTTTTATACATTTTTGTAGATAATTATTAATCTAACTTGCAACCCTCCTGTTGTCCTCATTTTCTGTATGCACTCTGTGTCCTCCACTTCAAAATTACCTGTCTTCACTAAACCCCCAATCTAAGCAGCTTAATTGAATTTTAAACACCAAATTTCATCTTGTATATTGTAATTCACCACAAAACGTGTGAAAAATTGAGTTTTCCCTCTCCACTTGAATTTCTATAGCATAAGGAAAGGAAAAAAATGTGTAAAAAGGAGTTTCGAATGCATTTTCATTCATCTCAATGACTTTCTCCAGTGAACGATTTAAGAGAATATACAGTACAAAAAAAAAAAATAAAAATCCAGGCTGCACAGTGGCGCAGTTGGTAGCACTGTTGCCTTGCAGCGAGAAGGTCCTGGGTTCGATTCCCGGCCCGGGGTCTTTCTGCATGGAGTTTGCATGTTCTCCCTGTGCGTTTGTGGGTTCTCTCCGGGTTCTCCGGCTTCCTCCCACAGTCCAAAAACATGACTGTCAGGTTGATTGGTCTTTCCAAATTCTCCCTAGGTGTGAGTGTGTGTGTGCATGGTTGTTTGTCCTGTTTGTCTCTGTGTTGTCCTGCGACAGACTGGCGACCTGTCCAGGGTGAACCCCGCCTCTGGCCTGGAACGCAGCTGGAGAGGCAGCAGCACCTCCCGACCCCAATAGGGAGAAGGGTGACCAGAAAATGGATGGATGGATAACATAATCCATTCAACTAATTAGCACATGTAGGGCAGTATGCAAGTGCACAGCCTTTGCAGATATATTTCTTACAGCTGCAGCACACAGTTTGTGTTTTACAGTCCTTCTTTTGAGGGCAGAACTGACATCTCTTCCTCTTACTTGGCGTAACTGGGGAAGTGGCTCTGGTCGATGGATTCTCAGGTTGATCAGGAGCTGCTGCACTCTGAATGGCTTTCACAACTGCTGCTGAGCCTTCTGTGCGGGGGGCATGCTTCCTTCTTTTAATGAGTGGAGTTACAAGTGCCCTTCCTAGCTGCTCCAGGAACATCCTCCTCTTGTTGTGCTTACGAGACATCCAGGTTGGGTTGATCTCTCTCCAAATCACAAAGGCATTGTAGGAGGACACATCAATGATGTTGTGGAAGATGACCAGGGGCCAGCGGGCAGTCATTCTTCTGCAGCTATATGCTCCAATCACCTTATCCAGGTTGTCCACACCTCCTTTGGTGCTGTTGTAATCCAGGATGATGACTGGCTTCTTGTCCTCTCGATCGCTAATGTCGCCGAGTTTGTGCAGTGTGCTCAGAAGAACGACGTTCTTGTTTTTCTTTGGGAGGTAGGAAACAAGAGTGGTGGTGGGCGTGAAGGCAAACTTTGAGGAGAGGACCTCTCTCTCCTTTGACGTAAGCAGTGCAGGTGGGAGCTCAGGCTTGTTCTTTCGAACTGTACCAACCATGGTGATCTTCCTGTTCAGGAGCTCCTGTCCGAGTTCATAAGAGGTGAAGAAATTGTCACATGTCACATTGTGACCGCTCAGTCCCTCTGTCATATCAAGCACAACTCGCATCCCCTGGTTCTTCTCCGGGCATCCAATGGTTGACTTCCCAGTATAGACTTGCATTTTCCAAGCATAGCTTGATTTGGCATCGCAAGCCACCCATGTCTTGATCCCATATTTTGCTGGCTTGCTGGGCATATACTGCCGGAAAGGACAACGACCTTTGGACAAAAGACATCAGCATCAGTGATTAGTATCAGTGTCACAGAAAACAGTCAAAGAAATCCATAGTGAAAATCACTTTTATTACAAATATGAAAACAAAATTACCTCTAAATGGAACCAGTTGCTCATCCACTGTCACGTCAGGCCCTGGATTGTAGAGGTAGGGCAACCGCTCCACCCACTTGTCCCATACGTCTCTTATGGGTGCAAGTTTGTCTGTCGCACGTCTTGCTGGTCTTGATTCACGGTCATCAAACCGTATCAGTCTTGAGTAGGTGTGAAAGAGTTTGAGTGGCATTGTGCCTCGGAAAATTGGCCTTCCATTCTCTGCATCCCACAGACTAGCTGCAGCCTCACCTCGGGACCTGTATACACCTGCTAGGATTAGCAGCCCTAAATAGGCCTGGAGGTCAATCTCATCCATCTTTTTCCAGCCGTTTCCATATTTGTGAAAACCCTCCAGATTTGTCATCTCCAGGATTATTTTTTTGATTGCTGGTGTGATAAACAGGTAGAATGTAGAAACGATATCACGGGCATGAGAAACGGCATACCTTGTGGGTCCTGGGGTCATCGTTAAAAAGTTTCGTACTGCATGGCTGCCGTGTTGGTGATATGTCGCTGAAGACCATGTTATTGTGCCATTTTTTGAAAGGAAAGTCTCACTTTCAGCTTCAGGGTTTTCTTCTTCTTCTGAAGATGATTCATCATCCTCTGGATTGTATTCCTCTCCATCTTCTTCTTCGGATACATCCTCTCCTTCCTCTTCTGAATCGGAGTTGTCTTGCTGGACATGTGAGAAAATCATCTCTAAGGCCTCTTCAGTGTTATAGTGCACACTATAGACACAATTCGGGGTCCTGTTATGCAGGACCTTTATAACCTCTGGAAATAACAGGTGGTCTTCTGAAGTCTGTGAGAACACCACCTGATTTGCCTTGTTTACTTCTGCTACTGATTGACCTGAGACACAACTTAAACTTTGTAACATTCTGTTGTAAATAACTCTGTGACCTTCATTTCAACTCTATTTGCCTCACGGGTCATTTTGACCCGAAGACCATCTTTGTACCTTTTTTTGTACAGCTTACATAGAAATGTGAATAAAAGCAACATTTAACTTTTTCTATTGTTTTGGCCAATCTAGGAAAAGTCTTAAAATCTCAAGTTGAAAAAATAATATTTAGTAGATTTTTTGGGGGGGTTTTAACACAGTGGCAGGTCATTTTGACCCAAGGACACCAGGAGGGGTATATGTGTTGGTTTGTTTGTTGGTTTTTTCCTTATGCATTTGTTTTTGTCCCAAAAAAATTCTATATTTTCTATATTCTATATTTTCCTTATAGAATTCCTTATTCCTGGGAAATTGAGACAATATTGAAACATACCATAGCCACATCATCAAGGATCCCCTGGGGAGTGCTGTGTGCCATTATCTGGACATAAAATGGAAAAACAAATGAAGTAAAGAATCAGTCCATATATATATAAACTTGTCTTCTAAAGGAAGCAAACTGATAATGGAGTCTGTAAAAACATTAGTTATTTCAGTGAATAAATACAAACCTTAGAACAGACAAAATCAACCAGGGTGGGCTCCTCCTCCCCTATGTATTCAATGATCTTCTTATTAATCCACGGTCTAATCCGCCGATCCATCAGAGCCTAGAAAACACACGTGGATAATATCCCAGAACTTAATAAACTGTAATATTTATGCATATCTTTTTTTTTTTTTTTAATACACTATTATTCTTACTGAATCGACCATAGCCCAATCCAGCGGGTAAGAGAAAAGCTCTGGCCTGGCGGTGGGGATCTTCTCGATAAGGCTCTTGATGTGCTTCCGCTTCTCCTCTGTGTTGATGCTGCCGCCCTTGGCGGCGGAAATGTCTGCCCCGTCGAGTCCCAGACTCTTGTCGTCGTCGCCGTAGTCCAGGGGAACCAGCTTCCTTTTGCGGGGCTGCTCGTCCGCTTCCTCGTCGTCGAACTTGTTGAAGACGCTGTCCACCGCCGCCAGCTTCTTTCTCTTGACAGCATTGAGCTGACTGGGGCTGTTGGTCGCGCCTGCAGGAGGAAAGTGAATAACTAGATTTATTCTGTCTGAACGCTGCAGGAACAGGCACCTTGTGTTTCCAGCAGAGTTTAGCAGGTCATGTTTAAGACTTTTTAATGCCACATGGAATTCAATTTAAGACCAAAAAAACTATAACTTTTGGTCTGTATGTATGTATTAATTTATTTCAACCTTTATTAAAAGTAACACAATCCTGGTCCATAATAGGGATAAAAATGACGATCTAGAAATCACAAAGATGCTAATAACTGGAAGTTAGCAGTAGCCTCAATCATCTCGAGTGAAGATGTCTGCATGTGACTCAAACTTTTTCCAGAAAATTCCATAAGAACAAAAATAAATAAATTTTAAGACCTTTTTATGACCAAAATAAATTTACACTTACCTATGACAGGCAGAAAAGCTAACGAGCTAGCTAGCGAGGGTATATTAGCAGCTAGTTAGCGGAGCCTCAACTGAGTCACAAAACGGGATGAAGATGTCTGTACACCACTCAAACTTTTGCCAACAGCAAAAGTTCCACGATAAGAAAATAAAATAAAATAAACTACACATCCAAAACTAGACCTGTGATTTTTAAATCTAAGTTGAAGACATTTTAAGGCCTTCATTTCGAGACACGTGAATTGAAGACTTTTTAAGGCTGCGCAGAGACTCTGTTACAGTCTGCTTTTGCACTCACCCAGCTTGAGGCTGAGGCCGATCCTGGGCCGATGTTCCTCTAAAGGCTGGAGGTCGGGGGTGTTCTCTCCTGGAATGATTATGCCGCAGGGGGAATCGTTCCCAGGAGTGTTTGGAGTCGCGTTCCCACTAGCAGAAGAAACTGATGGGGCAATGGTGATTGGTCTCATTATGGGCTTGAGTTGGGGCTTGGCCTCTAGTGAGTCTTCGCCGTCGCGGAAGTCGTCCTCGTGCCTTTCGTTGACGTTAGCGCCATTGTTGTCGTCATCCTCGTCTGAATCCTGCCGGGGGGGTTGGGACTTTGGCTCCACGGGTCTCTCAGAGGCTCTCTTCTCCCGCTCCCGCTCTCGCTCCCGCTCCCGCTCGTGGTGGCGGTCGCGTTCGTGATGGCGGTCGCGTTCGTGGTGGCGGTCGTGATGGCGGTCGCGTTCGCGAACCTGCTCCAGTTCACGCTCGCGGTGAGTTTTCTCCTGGATTACTTCCTCCTCTTGTTCCAGGTTCAGAGGAGGCTGTCGCCTGCGCTCGGCTTCCTCCTCCATCTGCAGAAATCCAAAGCAGAGACATTCAAAGTGGGTTTTTTCCAGATAGAGTTGAATAGCAAGTAAAAATTAAGCTTCAAGTCTTTTATGCCAAGTCCAAGTCAAGAGTAAAATCTTCCACCAAAAACAATTTAAGTCTCAAGACTCTGAGAGGCAAGTCTAAGTCAGGTCTAATCGGGACTGAAGAACATTTTCTTATCCTGTTTGCCATTTAATCTACATTGCTAAATAAATTACAAACCAGTGTGGCACAAAGTAGCAAATGAATGACGGCAGATATTACGTTTGGAAATGAATGGGGCACAAAGGACTGTTACTTTGTAAAACTTAAATATTTTCATCAGATTTAGGAGAAAAATAGGTGAAACTGTGTTAATGAATCATTTCAGAGGACTTACCCTCTGCAGCTCTGCATCAGGGTCAGGGTGACCCTCAGCAAGCAGCCTTTGTCTGATCTCTTCCAGCTCCTCTTTCTCCCTCTTTCGATCTCGCTCGTCCATTTCCATTTCCTTTTCGCGGTCACGCAGTCGCTTTTGCAAAGCGCTGCCCCTGAGGATGAGAAAAACAAATAGATAGGCCGTCGTTTGTTGCTCTGTTTCTGACAGCAGAGCAGAAACACGGCATCTCAAAGTGCGAGTTGAGAAGATCGACCTGTAGTACTTTGGATCATCCCTGTCGTCGTCATAATCCTCGAGGAACTCCTTCAGTCTTTTGGCTTCTTTCATCTGGTTTTCAAGATGCCACATAGCAAAAGAAAAGCATATGCATGAAATCACAAATAAGTTGACCAAAACAACCCAAAACACTTTATTTTTAGTGCATGATGTGTACCATTTCACGCCGCCTCTCGTTCTCCCTCTCATTTTCCTTGTTGTATTCGCGAGCCTTCTTCCTCTCCCGGATCTCCCAGTTTTTGAGCCGCTTCACGAGAAAAAACAAAAACACACAATTTACACGTCCTCCTGCGAGTAATCATTTGCATGCAACACAAACAGAGAGAAGTCACATTCATACTTCTTGGTAAGCAGCCTCTTTGTCTCTCAGCCTCCTCTCGAGTCTCCGCCGCTCGTAAACGTCTTCCTCGTCTTCGTCACGGTCTCGTTTTTTATCTTCTCTGTTTCTCTCCCTGTAAAGGCGATTTCATAATATCACCACTTCAGGGCATAACTATGAAGTCACAGATGTTTAGATCAGCAAAATTAGCTAAAAACATTGATTTGTTTTGCTTCTCTGAGAAGGGCTCCTCGTTAACCTCCTAACTGCTCGTATGAGGCACTCGAACAGATTTTACTGTTTATGGCTGTTTGCCATGAACACAATGTCAAAGAAACGTTAACATGCACTCTTAATAAGCTCTAGTAATTGAATCTGAAGCCTTTATTACTGAATTTGAACTACTCCTCCTGGGTGGAGCATCATTAACTTTTAAGAGTAAATTAAAAAAAGAAATAGCAATTAATTGCATGGAAATTTATAAGTAAATAATCAAAGTTAACGGGTTAAACAATAGACCCTGAAAAATGTTTTTATTTAAACAGCCATTAATATTTGGTTAAATGTCACTTGGAAACTTTGCGTAGCGATCCACCAGCTTCAGCTATAATCCTGGGTGATTTCTTTACCTCTTGTCTTGACAGAGTTGTGTATATTCCAATAAATTTGACGCCAAAATGAGCTGGAACTTTGAGGTACGGTTAACACATTTCCAATGGGTCGAGTTTACAGCCTTCTTTGTCCGTTAAAGCCCAATTCTGATGAGTGTTTGGGATTATTTCCCTGCAGGAACATCCAACTGTGTTCAAGTTTCAACCATCGGACCCAAGATCCACAAAAGGTTCAGCAGCGAGCTGCTTGAAACTCGCACTCAACTTAGTGTTTCACTCTGCGACACCATGAGCTACCAGATTGGAAATGGGTTGATGTTTAATCCATTTCAGCCGTTCAATAGTGTGGTTTTTACTCCAACAATTCTCACACTGTGGAAGCGTCAACTGGACTGACCTCGACCTGCTGCGCGCTTCGCTGATGTCTCGACTCCTCTCGCGCTCTTTCGTCCGCTCCCGTTCTCGTTCCCGCTCCTTGTCCCGTTCCCGCTCTCTCTCCCTCTCCTTTTCCTTCTCTCGGTCGCGCCGCTCCCTCTCGCGCTCGCGCTCCTTGTCCCTCTCTCTCCGCTCCTTCTCGAGCTCCAGTCGTTCCTTGTCTTTCTTCCCTTTTTCCTCTTCCAGTTTCTGCAACAGCCCGACAGGAGAAAGAAAAAGAGGAGCGTTTGTCAAAGGACGTTAAAGATCAGAAAAGTTATTGCACCGACACACACACACACAAATCCCACACACAATCACGCTGAAAAAAGCAGTTCAGACTCCCTGTTTTGGGGATGTTGACATCCTACCAGGACTGATAGCCTTGGACAAGATGGCCGCTCCGACTCAAGTCAGGATGTCTTCCTAGCCTTGTAATGCAATGTAATGTAATTTTTTTTACATACTATATTTTCAGCAGCAAGGCAATTCAAAATGCTTTACATGAATTAAAAGGAAATACAAACAAAACAACAAACCAAAGGAAAGAGCGAAAGAAGAAAAAGCTAATAATGTTGATCCAAGGTATATAAACTAATTGTCTAGTCGTATTCGTAGTTTCCACCAGGAGGAGCGATCCAGCACTGCGGCAGACTTAAATCTAGGCCTGCAACTGACGATTCTTCTAGTTATCGATCATTGTATTGATTATTCCGATAATTAATTAGATTGAAAAAAACTGTGTGCCTTCTGCAGATTTTTCATTCAAGTCTTTCTTTACACAATATAGGAAACACATTAAAGATGCAAATAGCCCAATTCCTTCATCAAATAAGAAAGTAAAACACTTCATTTCCTGAAATGCAACAACGTAAGGGTATGTGCGAGCATTTGTAGCAAAGGACGGATCTGCAGTAAAAATAATTCTTTCTACACCAACACATGAAGACCTTTCTGTTCGATTTAACATTGATACAATGAAGAGCTAATTTGGTCATTTTTTGTTTGTTTTTTTACAGAATTTGAATTGCAAAAACTGGAACTTGAGGAATTGTGGGTAGAACATATTTACAGACAAAAACAATTTGTTTTATTTTCATTGCAAAATATATATAGTCTTTGAAGCAATTATTCTTTCTAATCCACTTAATATCAATAAACCACAGGGTTAATTTGTTTATTACTTTTTGAAATAACCAATTAATAATTAGATAGCAAAATGTGCTTAATAGGAGATTTTTTTAAAATGTTTACATAATTTTAACTGGATGCAACTAAAACTGACACAATGTACAATGATTTTTTTAATTATTATTATTATTTCTGAAATGCTAAATATACATATATTTTATGCAGTTTTGACTCAATTACAATGTTCTTTCAAAAAATTGTATTTTAATTACTTTATCCAATTAACTATTAACTGATTACTAAATTAGTTGACAATTATCTCAATAATCGATTCGTCACGATTTATCGGTTTAATCGTTTCAGCCCAATTTACATCTCAGTTCAGGTTAAACTCATGTGAAAACCATCAACTGGACTCTATTACCCCCTGATTCTGTAGACGAAGGCCCCTGGGGAGCCACGTTCAACCCAACATTTTTCCTCTGTCTGTGTGATAAACTGCTTTGTGTTAGTCTTATTACATAAAACCCCAATGAAAAGCAAGTCGGAGGCCGTGACGTCACAGACCGACATTGAAAAGCTCAAGCAGCATGAACGCTTTCACAAGGCAGAGTACGTAACAGGGCAGTGAGCAGAGGATGTCCGCGATTATACTCTGATGTAATGAGAGGCTATTTCAATGACAACTCGGCTGTGGGCTAAAAACATATTGGTCAAATTCATATCCGCCTACTTTTTCCCCCCAAATCAATGTCCAGTCATAGCAAGTTTTCACCCAGAAAACTTGCTTTTTTTTTTGCATATTGAAAAACATAAAAAAAAACCTAAAAATACATAATTGTCGTTGGTTTTATCAGACAAACAGCAAAAAGAAGGATAAACACTAATACTTAGGACAATCTGCTTTGTGTTATTGAGGAAGGAGTGTTGATCCTAAATGGGCTTTTTGCCTACAGAGCTTTTAAGAGTCAGAGAAGCTGCCAAGTAAGCTTAGAGCGCGCAACATACTTAACATCACTGCCACGTAATGGACCACTCTAACGTTACCTAAGGGTGCCAAGTGGATTAATATAAGTCACTGCTTAACATGGCAAACGGCCCAGTTTTAAATAAATTACATAATCAGTATCAAAGTATTCCTTTTTCTGTCATGATTGTGTGAGATACAGGAGAACATGAGTAAGAGATATCTGCTTTGCTGCAGTGTAGAGGACAGGCTTATTTTAGGACTACTATTTTTTCTCCCCAAATTTACATAATCAGTATAGATGCAGTCTTCTGGGATTTGAAAAAAAGCCTGACGATTATAATTTTGGCCAATGCTGATTTTTCTTTTTTTGTCTGATAAGTTGTTAAATATGGCAACAAAGCTGCTAAGTTGGCAACAGCTGGGGTGACGATTGTAAACCGCAGACGCATAGACATGACCTTCTGGGCAGTGATCAAAATTTATTTTATTTTTCAACAATTTAACCAGGGAAATAAAATCAGTTTCACATGTCTGCATCATCTAATTGCAAAAAATTAAGGAACTCGGGTCCAATTTATCGGCGCTCCCCTAATAATTATACTTACATTTTGCACAAATGATCGAAGGACTTTGCATAAAACAAGACGTAAACTCTTGCTTCTCGCTAAAATCAAACACAATGGCATTTTGTTCTGGAGATAGAGTTTTGCAGCTTGCAGGACATGACCTAGGGACTCAGCACTTCTTCCCGCCAACACACACTGCAAGCTACATATGCAGGGTTTCCCCCAGAAAACTTTATAAGACCGGTGGTTCTGGTGTCATTCGTTCAGCGACCCGTCGTGTTTTTGGGTACAAAAATGTTAAAAGTTGACAGGAAATTTGAAAATATCACTTTGTAGTTATGTGTCATTGAAAGATTGGCAGATTAATACCTGATCATCAACTATAAAGTCAAAAAAAAAAAATGCAAACAATTTAAAAAGACTTAAATAAATAAGCAATGCTCAGCCTGGCGGGGGCTCAAGCAAAGCCTGGTGGTCTGCCAGGCTCATAATACTGGGGGAAATCCTGATATGGGAGGAAAAGCAAGTCAATCAAGAAGTCAGAATATTCAAAATAACTGCAAAACAGTTTGCTGTGACAGAAATGTCAAAATCAACTCCTTTAAATTCATTGTTTGACACCAGAAAAAGTAGGGAAGGCATCTCACCTGAAGGTCCACTTCCTGTGCCTCTAAGATCTCACCAATCCAGTTTAAAAAATAGCAAGTCCGGCAGATCCAGAGTTCAAATTCAGATTTTATAAAAGTTTATGATAATTTTCTGAAAGAATTGTTTGACATTTTGATCTGATAGGTAATAAAAAGTAAACATGAAAAGAGTACAAGAAGAAAAATGTATTTGCTGCATTGTCTATCACTTATATGTTTATGTCATAGATAGACCAACACAATGCTACTTAACACAAATGACCTTCATGATGTGATATTGTTAATATGTCAACTGATGCAAATGACACAGAAGATAAAAGCCAGGATGTCTGCGTCGGGACAGGACAGACATCCTCATCTGAACTGTATTTAAGGTCATATCAATGCGTCCACTGGGTCTGCTTTTAAATATCAGCTTTAATGTGCTATTCTGCAGGCCGATCTTTTGAAAATCAATGTGAGTGTCTGAAACTGGTTTGACCTCCTGTTTGGATGAGATTTCTTCTTTTTTTTTTAAAGCCACCATAAGCTTAATATATATGTATATAATTTCTAGAGATGCACCAATGAGTCTTTGTGGCCGATTTGGAGTTTTTGTAGAGGTCTGACCTGTTGATTCGCATTTCTCAATAAGAACCCAGAACAAAAAGAACCATGCTATGATCAACATTTTAATAACAAAAATTATTCCTAAAAAAACACCTCTTGATTATTGTTTTATAAACCGAATTGAATTGAAATGCATGTCATTGTCTTTGAATCAGTCTATTAGATTGAATTGAACAGACTCACTATTTTCACATATAGCTTGGATCTGCTTGTCTTGCAAAGTGCCTTTGACATCACATTTATTGCAAATGTATATGAATTTAAATAAATGAGTTAATGGTAGGTTTGTTATTGATTCCTGAAGCTCAATATCTTCAATTTCCATTTTCTTATCCATTTGTATAAAGTTTGCAATTTAAGTTCAAATTAAAAGAAATTTTAAATTAATTTTAGAGAGATTAACAATACATTCTATTTAATTAGATTGATATCATTCTCACGACACCAACATTAAGTAACCTGCTACAGTTAAATAATCCACTACAGGTTTCTATTGTAGTCGTCAGTTCATTTTAAAAATGCATCTCTCACTTTTACTGTTAACTTGCAGGATGTAATTTTTAAATATACATATTTTCTCCTTCTTAACTTTGACAGCATCTCGATGCAGAGCGACAACGAAAGCCTAAAAGAGAGAAAAAGAAATGCAGCACACTTATGTGTCTTCAGACCACAGAGTGCTGTGGAGAGGCGCTCCCTGCTTTAACGATGCTGTTAGCTGCAGTTTAAAAGGCTGCAGTGGTTAAACTCTGCAGATTCACAGATGTCAGGACGTGCAGAGGTTCACTGAGCTGCTCGGTAGTTTTAAAAGTGACACGGTGCGACACGCATCCAATTCAATAAAACTACCTCTCACGGATTAAATGGAGCGATTTACCCCAACGTTGCTCGAAATGACAAAGACACAGGAATAAATGAAATGAGAGCCAGTTGCCCCTCTGCAAACCCTCCAGCAGGGGGCGCCCAGTAGGATTAGAAAAGAAAAGAAAAGAAAGAGCTTACCTGCTTCCTATCCGCGCAACCTTTTCCAAAGCTGACACAGTCAGATTCATCTTGCTCTAGTCACCAAATGACCTCTACCACATTGGTGGGGTTTAATCAATAGATTAGGTTTATTTGGAATTTGAACACTATGTCCAAAAGCTAGCATTAGCTTAACAGATTGTTTATTAAGTGTGAATCCACTTCCTGTGGAGGGATTTTGAAGTACAAACATAAGCTTTCTTCTTATGTACATAGCAACAGAGGCAGGTTGGTACGTTACCTTGTGTGTGTCTCTGAATTTGCTGATCTCTCTGGATATGAGGTCTCTCTTGTCATCCTCCAGCTCCATGGCGTTGATGTCCTTCAAAAAAGATAAAGACGGATTTGGAAGCAGACCAGGTATGGAATATTTAATGGACAAAATAAAGAGTTAATTTTCTGACTACCTCCTCCTTCTTCTCTTTGCGCTTTTTGTTGCGAGGCTGACCGTCCGAGTCTTGCGAGGGAGCGTTGAGCTCGCTCGAGTACTCTCGGATGAGGACGTCGATCGCCCCCTTCACAACCTGGTCCCGACGCACAGTTTCTTCATCGAGAACCTCCTCCTCGTCCTGCGCGTCGTTTTTTGATGCGTCTGTGGTTCCCTGGGCGTCGAAGCCGGAGAAAGACTATTTGAAATCCTTTCAAAAAGGATCAAACTCAAACAGGCGCTCGCTTGACGTCAGTTACCCCGTTGGCGCTCCTCTTCTTTGCCTTCCACTCGTCCAGCTGAGCCTTGGTTTTAGCGTCCACCTTGACCAACAGCTTCTTGTCGCCCAAGAGCAGCTCATGCAGAAGCCTGAGAGCTCGGAGCGTGGACTCAGGCTCCTTGTATTCACAGAATCCAAAAGCTTCCAGATGGCAAGGGGCAGAAAGAATTTATAATGTCCAAAATGAGAGAAAAAAAAGTCAGTTATTATTTTTGGATTGCATAAAACAACAAAAACTTGTTTTTCTTATTTTAAAAGCGTCAAAAAAAAAGAAGAGAGAATATAATAAGGACAACATCAACATGAACATGACTATATTATTATAATAGTAATAGGTCTCAGGACTGGGCTGCATAATATATGTCAATGAAGAAGAAATTAAAAGGTAAGTTTATTTTTATATTACCTTGAAGTTTCCCAGAAGCGCCTTGGACCCGTTTCCAGCTCAGAACGATACCGCATTTCTATTTGGACGGAGAACAAAAAATAACGTGCTTTATGTCTTTGATAAAACCGATTTATTTATCCACAACATTTTCACCGGATGAGCAAACCCAGCCAGCAGCCATTGTGGACATCGATGGACTTTGAGATCTCTTTTGTTCCCCACGGTGGGACGATTATACATAATACAAGCCTTCGATTATTTTTAAAAACTAGAATATGAGGCACAATTTTAAGCTGTGAAATTATGTGAAAAGAAATCAAGGCTTAAAATATTTTACTCTATATGTAAAGTAAATATATCTGAATTTCACTTTCTGAAATCAGTGACAAAAAAAAACAATTTTTTTTTTTTACATTTTTATCGTATTTTAAACTTCTGAGCTGTAATTGTGAATGCCATTCAATCCTTCCTACATTTCACGGGAATTAATGAAAAGACACAAATCTATTCTTGTCTGGACCAATTTTAAAGAAAAAAGAAAATAGACGACGGTTTCATTCTGACAGATCAGCGACGTATGGAGAACTCACTGCTAGAAGCTGCCTGACCAACATGTCAGACGCTTTCTCAGAGATGTTCCCCACAAACACGGTGGTGGTGGGGCCCACGCCCTCTTCTGGGTCCTTGGCTCTGATGAGGACAGGGTCCTTCTTCGTGGTTACCGGCTTCTGTGTAATGGTAACTGTGGTTGGGACCAGCACCTGGACAGCCAGTGCACATTTTAGGTCATTAAAATAAAATCGTTTTGTTGACACAAAAAGTATATATGGTTAGTGGGGTCTTTTTTTTTTTTTAATTTACTCACTGTAGGTGCAGGAGCCATTACACCCATGTGAACTGGGATCATGGGAGTCCCTGAAAACAAGAATGGAAATGAAGTTAAGCCAAGCAGCTAATTCAAACAAGGCTTCTCCGAAGGTTTTATAAGCCTGGCGGGCCACCAGGCTTTACTTGGGCCCCGCCAGGCTAAATACTGCTTATTTGTTTTAGGGTTTTTTTTCAAAGGCTTTGTGGTCGGTGTTCAAACATTAATCTTTCAATAACACATAATTATCAAGTGAAATTTTTACATTTTCTGACAACTTCAAACATGTTTTAATTCAAAAACACAGCAGGCTGCTGAATGAGTGACTCTCCAGACTTAGCTAGTTTTCAGGGGGAAACCTTGTCATGTCAAAATAAGACGGTCTGGATGTTCATCGAAGTCTACAGCGCACACAATGCTGCTGATCAAAACTGTAATTGTTGTGAGATGCTGAAGGTATGATATCAAGTCCATACAATGCCTGGCTAAAGTTGCCTTGACTTTTGCGAGAGGCCTTGAAATTTTATTTCACACGACTACCACAGTCTTCAATGTTCTTAATATTGGCCAAAAAGTGATCAAGTTCAGTAATAAATATTCTGAATGATTATTATTGTGCCTTTAATTGCTTATAAACTCATCTGAAACTACTTTGCTTCTGTGTTTCTCTCCATTTCCCATGCATATGTCCTGTTAATGTAAATAACACGTTCTGTCAATGGAAGTACCTGGAGGAACCGGAGGTGCAAAGCCCGCATACTGAGGAGGGGGGATGCCGGGGGGCAGCTGCGGGATGCCAATCGGAGGGCGGTTGATTGGAGGAGAGTAAGACATCCTGAAAAAACCTGGAGCCAAGAAACAAAATGCTTTATTAGTGACAAAGAGGACACTATTTACTGTTTCCCAAATGGGTCGAGCGAGTAGCTACATTAGCAGCGGTAATAATGCGGTAAAAACAACACAGCCGAGTGCTGCAGTAGCAACATATTTGGCCGGTTGTGAAGGCGCTCATGTGAAATACTCCGCTACGTAAACTAGCTAAATTAGCTAGAAGCAGCTAACTCAGTAGCCTCTTGCTAGTTCAGTTAGCAGCTGCGGCGCCCATGAAATGATTTACTCACCAGCCAAAGAAAGAAAGCGGCCTCCAGTTTTAAGGCTTAACCGCAGAAAAAAAGCCCCCGAAACAACTATAGACAAGAGTATTGTGTTACAGGCCAATGTTATACTAGAGACCGGCGGGCTAAAGGAAACCCCTGTGGTTGAGAGACAACTGGGAAAGGAATCATGGGATAGCTGCACGTCAAAGGGTTTTTTGCCCTGATCCTTGTCTTTCAGGCTGTCTGCAAGTCTGTAAGGAAAACATGTCCAGGCTATTTTGTTCGCCTCAAACCTTAAGGCAAAAAATACACAATTCTCAAGACTACTACATCAAATATAAAATAAACATTTATTAATCTTTTTCGTGAAATAATACGACGTAATGCATTTAATAATAATGTTATTTCCAACACAGAATTTTAAGCGTAATGCATTGAACTTCAGCAAAAAAAAAAAAAAAAAAAGAAAAACAACTGTTAAATTGAACAGTAATTTCAAACTTTTTATTAAATTGTGGAATTATTCACAATTTATTGCACGACAATTAATTGACTGCAACCTCATCCTCGCAAGCTGCTATGGTTAGTATCTTAGCTTGCTAACTGTGGGTGGATTCAATGAATACCATTGTTGCAGAATCTAAATACTGTATTTTACTGAAAACTACAATAGATTGTGGATAAATTTTATCGTACTATAGGTATTCTTATTTGCTTTAGTTTTTTTTCACATTTTTAAAACAAGATGGCAAGAGTCTTAAGATAATATTTTTGCTCTGGGTAAGAAGCTGTAAAAGTAATTACTATATGACAAACAAAAGAGCTTTTACCCTGACGCCACCGACAGGGGGCGAAAAACACCATCGTGGGGTGGAAAAAAAATACCCATTTTCAGACACTTGGGGGCGCCAAATGTCTTACTTGGTGTGTAGCGAGTGATTGTAACGGGTTTTCTCGCTGTTCCCTGTCTCCTGTTGATAGCAAACGGCATGCGGGGCCAGGGAGCGAACACTTTGTGCGGTACTTCACCGTCACATGGTTCTGTATAAGTTCTGCAAGCTGCAAACTGAAAAAGAACAGATCAGCATGCTGAGTCATTCTATTTAATGTCGCGTTCAAGTTCAAGTAGGTCTGCACAAATCAGGGCATGGGATGTCATTCAAAAAACAAAACAACAACAACAACAACAACAAACAGAATAACTTTACAGATACTAATATTTTAATAAAAATAGATTTTGTTGTTTGAATAATTTCTGTAAAATCCTGAACTCATTAGGTGCTTTTCCAGATCTTATCTGTCCAGATTTTTCTTTTGGTGCCCCTGTGAAATTCCTTCTTTAAGTGTCCACCAAATATTGCAACGGTAAGAACATCTTGATTAAGCCTCTGATCTAAAAGATCATTTTTAACAAATGCAACTTCTTACACTGAAGATTTAAAAAGGAGCGAGAATCATGCACGATACTGTTATCGCATCGCTTTGGCCCAAATGGTTCTAACTTTGGATCCAAGGTTTATTTGTTATGATCTTGTTCCCCATGTTGTCTTTATATCTTGCAAAACCCTCAAGATTTTACTTTTTTTATTATTTAAAATATGTACAAATAAATAAATAAAAAGAAAACTCAGAAAAAAAATGTTTAAGACAGTTTACCGATTTTTGCATGGATTGCATCATGAACGCATCCTTATTCAAAATCCATCATAAAAGACGACGCTGTAAATGCCAATCTCAACTCTAAATGCATCAAAACCCAGCTCGCTTTATGAGTTTGAATTCAAAACATTGTTAAAATGAACACAACTAAATACATTTCAAATTCAAATCTCGTTCCCCGTCATGATTCTGCAGAGTCACTGTACGGCGGTGCAAAAAAACGTGAATTGCTCTTCTCCCTCCGGATGACAGAAGTGTGCGGATGCTCGCGTGTTTTTACCAACATATCATAATGTTTTGCAATCTGAATTGTCGGCCACGTGCTCGCCCGGGCCGGGCCCACTGAGTTGTGCGGTACCGTCTGGAAATTTCCACTTTGATGACAGGGAGGTAGATCAGAGCTCCATGACCCACGTGGAACAGAATGAAAAAAGAGCTCGGCCTATAATTTGCATTAAAAGAAAAGACACGCCCCCAGACACGCCCCCACCCCGCCCACACGCGCGCGCGCACACACAAACACAAACACACACACACGCACACACATACACACACACACACACAAAAAGACGATCCCACCGATTCCGACGACTGCTATTGGTCAGCTCGAATGTGCGTCACTCAACGTGACGTCAGAGAATATAAATAAAACCAGAGCACCCCTCCCTCGCTCCCCCTCTCTTTGATAAACTCAAGTTGAAACACATAACCCGCTGCCAACACAGACAGCAGGTATGTAAACCTGCGGTTGTTTGAGTGATTAAATTAGGGCGCGTTGGCTCCGCTGCGCCCACTTCTGCGTGTCTCGCGCTCAAACCTCATGAATATTAAACAGGCGTCGGACGCAATAAAACCCACTCCCCCTCCCCTCCTCCCTCTCCATCCGGCACCGACAGCACAGCATCCACCAGCTGAACTCTCCGCCGGGCTTCCATCGGAACCCTTCGCTCCGTGACTGAAGACACCGAGGGTTTGGTTTTATTTATTCATTTTATTCTGTATTTATTTGTCGCGGCGAGGATAATAGAAGGAGAAAAATGGCTCTGAGAGGACTGCTCTCCCGTCTCCTCCGGACTCAACTTAGACAAACCTGCCAGCAAAGCAGGGCTCAGTCTGTGGCCATACTGGGAGCCCCGTTCTCCAAAGGACAGGTAGAGGAGCGCTCTCGCGCTTACCCATCACTGTCACTCATTCATGTATCCGTCGATTCATTCTCTTGTTTTTTCCCCCCTCTCTCTTCTACACAGAAAAGAGGAGGAGTGGAGCACGGACCCAAAGTTATCAGAGACGCGGGTCTCGTCGAGAGGCTGTCCAGCTTGGGTAGGTGGGACGAAAGCGGGGAAGGTCGGAACTGTAACAGCGGGCCGGCTGCGCAGAGTTATGCAACGCCTGCTGTCTGAACTTCTACATCCGGTTTTACTCCGAACTTGTTACATCACCACGAGACGGGATAAATATACACACACTCGCGTGTAGAAATGAGGCGCCGTCTTACGTTTTGATTTGCTCTGATTTGTTTGTTTGTTGTTTCACCACCGCGGACGTTTTTACCCGGGGGATAGGGTGGTGGTGGTTACACACGTTGTGAGTTTTTTTTCTCTCAATTTGAAATCCACTTGTCAGTATTTCCTCACGCGTTTGCAGATGTTTGGAAGGTGACTCATTGCTGAGCTTTGTTTTTTCTTTTCTTTTTTTTTTTATTTTATTTATATTGTCACTGTTGCCACTGTTTTCGGACCATAAGTCCAACAGCAGCTGCAGCGGGTGGACAAATCGAACGCCTCAATCAGAAAAAAACAAACCAAAAAAACCGCGATTGTCTTCTGTCACGATGCTGTGCATCACGATTAATATCGGATCAATGACACAGGCGACCAAAGCGTGACAGTACGCGGATGTTGTGTATTTCACTGCCTTGCCAAGCGACTCCCACCATTTTGAGCATCATTAAAACACAAGGAACAGGGATTTTGTGCGTTAGATCAACGCAAAGTGGTTCACATTTGTTGCTCTCTTGGAAGGGAAACCCCTCCCCAAAAAAACCCCAGTCTTCATCATTTCTATTTACAGTTAAATGAGTAAACCGACTTCCCCTGTAAACTGATGGTTGGGATGACCAGGGCCGGCCCAAGTCTTTTTTGAGGGTCCTAAACAGGTTTTTATAACGGGTCCCTCAGTGCCAACATGGCAAAACCAGATACATCACCGTTCAAGCAGCCCTGTGCCAACTTTTATTAGCATCATTTGTAGTTAGCTTGCATAAAGTCTTTGTTCCTGTTAGCTGATTTTAACCTTAAACGAATAGTAAACAAGAAAAAATGCTCTAGTTAACTAGCATTTTTTAAAAAATGGCGATCGGTATCCGAGTGTGGCGTGTTGCTTGACTATTTGAGAGTAATATCTGGAGACAATAAACAAGTTAGCAACTTCAATATCTTTTGCTTCTGCAATGTGGAAACAGGTGTGTAAAATGGGCCAAATGCACAATCTACTACAACAAAATCAAATCAAAGTTATTCTGTTTTTTTATTTGGTCTCTTAAGTGCGAAATATTTAATAAACGACAAGTTTGTAGCATCTGATTCAGAACAGTCGTCGTTATTGTGCATTTAAAACCTAAGGATTGTGTCGATCGATATGAAATACGGCTGATCAGATTGTTAAGGGCAGTTTTACAACTGTAATCTTTAGAGAATACAAACATGGTTTATGGATGGAGGGGATCTTCTCTGCTGGGTCGTCCAGTGAATTTATGACACTTTCTCTGACTCTTTGAAGTACTGAAACAAACGTGAAACATATTTCTAAAATTATTTATGAATAATGCAAAAATGGTACTAAAGTAGTTAAAAAAAAGTTTAAGTGTACTATTTATGAAATTTTGAATTATAGGAGCATTTTAATTTCCCTTTAGGAGCAATCTAGTATATTTGAATTGAACCTGAAACGGCACTCGCTAAACCACCTAAAGATGGATATGGAAACTTTTTATTCAGCGCCGGAACTACCTCAACTACTTTCACTAAAAGTTGATGTATTTCTGTGCAACACAACCTAACCCCCCCCCCAAAAAACAAAGCTTTTTATTGTGTAGTAACAGTCTTATATATGATCATAAGAACATCAAGTCAGCAGAGAACGTACACGGGTCACTGGGTTCACACGCCGTCGCCTGTTAAAAATGAAAACAATTTTTTCCATTTTTCAGCGAAACGTTAAAAAATTCACGTGCGAACACGCTTTAATCTCGTCGATGCGCGAGACTTCACAGGAAAATACATTTGTCAGTCATCAATATAGCAATAAAATGTTACTTTTGAACTCAAAGGCGTTAAGTAATGTAGTTGAACAAGTTTGGTTTGAGTCAAAACAGGTTTGTATCCAGCTTTAGCTACCTCAGCGACAGCCCTCGCTTGCTAGCAAGATGCGCTCCTCAACCCTAAACCGGCAGTTCTGAGAGAAGCGTCGCTCTTAGCCGGGGTTGTCATTGAAACGGTGTACGCCCCATCTTGATTGATGTACTTTAATGTCAATGCACACAGACACGACAGCAAATCTGGCAACAAAATGTTGTTGTTTGGTTACCAGAGTAAACAGAAAAAAAAAAATACTGAAAAACTATAAGCATGACTAAAAATGCATGTCAATATATAGGAATCTAGAATAGGTACGCAAATAGATTTAAATATGTTTGTATGTATTTGTTTATGGTTTGGAAGGACAGGCTCTAAAGGAAAAAAAAAGACATTAGTAAGTATTTTATTTCCAATGTAATTGAGTTTTTTGGACGTAGCACCTCCACTTGGAGAATATTCAACAGTATTTACTGAAATTGATTGAAATAAAACGTATGGCAGTCGTCACCTGTTCAGTACCTCTGACTGTACGGCTATAAATAAAGAAGGCGAACGGATCCAATGTCTTGGATGGCAGTGGCTCTGTGAAATTATATAATAGCCTTCATAGCTGTGTTTGCTTTCAAATTGGCAACGACTGCCAAGTAATCCGACCGACTGTTGCTTCCAGACATCGGATGTAATCAGAAGGGAAAGTTGCATGTGTTGGATATTGACTTTTACAGAGTAAGTCCAACATAGTTTCAAAGCTTGTGAGCAGAGTCGGGTTTTAAGCCAGGCCTCGTGAAAACAAATTGTACCCAATTCACTCCTCACGTGTCTAGACAGGTTCAATTTGCATCATAAACTTTCTAATATTTGGTCTTGAGAAATAGCAGTTATAAGTAGTTTCTTAGGAAATGTTCAGTCCTACTGATGTCAATGTTTCTGTTGTAGTGTGCTTAAAGTAATGAAACCAATAATAGGTTAGCATTGCAGTCAGCAGGACGATTTAAGCGCACATGCAAACAACTGCCATCATAATTAGCAGGGCTATCTGATGATACAACTATTATGAAGAATTGCGAATGAAAGTCTTTCTTTTCTGTAGACAGCGGCAAGTACACTGTGTAAAAATGGGCAACACGAAAAGATTTTTCTCCACTTCTTCATCAAAAGATCTCAACTCATTGAAGTTTAAGACAACTGGAGTGAAAATTAGCCTCCCAGCGGCAAAAAAGCCCCAGCTGCAGCGTCAGGAATGTTAGTCCAGTATCTGCAACTGAACACCAACCGAACTACATATCGTACCATCCCTGAACCTGAAAGCCGGTTGTTCATACAGTGTCTTGTGTATTTGTGCCTCAGCAATCATAGCAAGATCTTCTGAGCAATAAACAGCATGATGTAACAGATGGTGATTTGAACCGGATCGAACAGAACCAGCAGATAGATCGTCCACACTCTTCTCGGTCTGTCCTGCAAGAGATGCTCGCTGTTGCATCAGGTCAAAGCTATTCCTGTCCTGCCTCATGAATAGTAATCAACCAGGCAGGGAGCCCTCAGATCAGCAGAGTAATCTGACACCGCTAACAGGGTTTATGTTTTCAACCCTGTTGGCCTTTAAACATGGCAAATTGTTCACAGTCTATCATCCTCCCTGGAGTTCGGGGGTTTGTGTTTTTTCTTCTTCAAGTTCTTAAGTCTGCAGCAACTTTGCACGGTGCGAGGCTCCGTCACTGAAACCCGAGTGGGAATAAGGACAAGTGGAAAGTGCCCCGTCACTAATGTTCCACTGGCAGCTGGTGACTAAACCCTCTTAAGGGCTGTAGGGTCAGGCAAATCCCTGGGAGGAGGCGTCTGACACCTGGTGTTCACACGGTGCAACTGTCCAGATTGCATTGAACAATTAAGGGGTTGCGGGTTTCATGCTCTGCAATTAGTGAGCGGTTTCTGATACGGGCGGCGGTCCAGGGCAGTTTCTTTTCTGGGGCGGCTGGAGCTTTGTTTTTTTGCGTTTATCTGCTTCGAACGACACGTTTGGTTTACGGCACAAAATTTTTCGGTTTTTAAGACTTTAATTATTCTAAAACTAAACGACGACAAGGGAAAGTAAAACTGTACTTACTGATGGCAGTGCTGTTGTGATGTGACATGGATCGTGTGAAATAGCCGTTAACTGGAAGAGGTGTCACTTCTAATGAGAGAGTTTCACAAACTGTCAAGACATATTGAAAGTTTTAACAAATATGTAAAAAGAAAATATATATTTTTAAAATAAAAGTTGCGTCCTGCAGCTTTTGTCCGGCTCATGATGGAGAATGACGGTATATTTCATTTTCTCAGACTACTCTGTTCATGACTTCGGGGACCTCAGCTTCCACCTCCCGGAGACGGACGAGCCCCACATGGACGTGAAGTCCCCGAGAAGCGTGGGCGGCGCCAGCCAAAAGCTCTCCCGCGCAGTGAGCAGAGCCGTCGGCGCCGGGCACACTCTGGTCATGTTGGGGGGAGACCACAGGTATTAATCTCCAAAAAGAGAAAGGAGAAAAAAGAAACAGCTCTTCACGGAGCACAGAATATTCTGCGCGGAGAAGCATTTACGACCGCTTCTCGCCTTTTCCAGCCTCGCCATTGGATCAGTGAGCGGCCACGCCCAGCAGTGCCCCGATCTGTGTGTCATCTGGGTCGACGCTCATGCAGATATAAACACGCCCATGACGTCGCCGACAGGAAACCTCCACGGCCAGCCGGTGGCGTTCATGCTCAAAGAGCTGCAGGACAAGGTGAGGGGTGGCGAAAGGTCTTACAGGTCTGCATATCAGGGTTCATTTATTGTAGGTAGAAATAATAATAATAATAAAAAGTAATGACAAATATCTGTGAAAAAGAAAACTCAGGCCAAGATATTTCTGAGCTTCAAAAGTTGAAGATTTTCTAGAAAAAAAAAACAGAAATAGAGTCTGAAAAAGCTGAAATTGTTTTACTTTTGAATTTCCAACTTTTTTTCTCAAAAATTTCTCAAATGAATCTCAAAATTTCTGATCTTCAATAAGCAAACGTTCAACTTTTAATACGCAGAAACGTCCAAGGTTCTTTTCTGGGAAACTTTGGGGATTAATCTCAGAATTTTTGAGTTTTTCACAAACAAATTTTCGAGTTTTGGAACTCCTTGCTTTGTCCAGAAAATCTCAGATTCTCCGGACAAATTTTCTGGGAAATTTACCCTTTTTTTTTTATTATTCTTTCCATCTACAACTACCTTAACGCCCAGTCATAACTTCAAGCAATACAATAGCTCGCAAAAGTATTCATAGCCCTTGAACCTTTTGCATATGTCACTTTAAAACCATTACCTTTAAGTTTGGTGTTTTATGTGAGAAACCAACACAACAACGCAAAGTACTTTGCAAAAATAGTTTTTTTTTTGTTTGTTTTTTTACATTTTTCACAAACTCAAATCCAAAATGTGGGAAGTGTTTGTGTTTCTGGAATGTGCTTTTTCATCCTAAGCATTTTGTTGCGGCTCCACAGATTTTAGTATTTGTCGGCATTTATCTTCTTTTATCTGATCTTCACCTCTGAAGAACTTCCTCATTCCTCGTCCCACGGCAGATCCTGCCACCAACATAGCAGTTTTGGGACTTCCAGTGTCATTTTTCTAGCACAGACAGCATCTTGTATGTAGGCCAAGGAACGTAAGGCATCTGGTGTGGAGTCTACTTATTGAAGAGATCATGTAATCTAGGGGCACTGAAATAAAAATGGCTGAAGACAAACACACACACACCAGTTTACAGATTAAAAAAAAAATACATTTTTTAAATCAAAATCCTGAAAAATTCTGGGTTATTTATTTCTCTTATTTCCTTGTTCAACAGAGTTCTTGTTATGAATTTAATAACATTGTTTCCATCTGCACACCCAGATGCCTGACATCCCTGGATTCTCCTGGACTAAACCGTTCCTCTCTTCACGGGATCTGGTGTACATCGGACTCCGGGACGTCGACCCTGGAGAGCAGTGAGTTCCCCTGCACCCCCTTCTACTTAAAATATCTTTCACGTGCAACAGATTTTTTTCCTTCAAGCAAGCATTGCAAAAAACTTTATTGGTACGCTTTGTTTCAGCCACATCCTAAAGAGCCTGGGCATCCAGTACTTCACCATGAGGGATATTGACAGACTAGGCATCCAGAGGGTCATGGAAGTCGCTCTGGACCATCTTCTGGCAAGGTAGCGAATACTTACTGATCACGATCGGTGTGCTGATTGAATTCGAAGACACCTTGAATTCACCTTTTGTCATTACCCGCAGGAAACAGCGACCGATCCACTTAAGCTTCGACATTGATGCGTTTGACCCGTCTCTGGCTCCTGCCACAGGAACGCCGGTCAACGGTGGATTGACCTACAGAGAGGGGATCTACCTGACAGAAGAGATTCACAACACAGGTACCGGCGTCTGCAACAACGGTCCTATATCACTATATAGATCCTCGACGTTTGGAGTCCAACATGTTCCTGTGTCGATGCGTAGGTCTGCTGTCGGCCATCGACCTGGTGGAAGTGAACCCCATCCTGGGGGCAAACCAGGAAGCGGTGGAGGCCACCGCGTCCTTAGCGGTGGACGTCATCGCGTCGTCTCTGGGCCAGACGAGAGAGGGCGCTCACGCCTCCAGCCCTGCGGAGAAAAGCGACACGGAGCAGCTCTGCCTCTGAGAGCTCTGAGAATCGAAATCTTTCTGAACTTTAAGCCATGACTGACCATTCCATTGTTTTTACTTTCTGCAGTTGTTTAAACTCTGGTGGAAAGCGAGGGAATTTCTGGATCCGTAAGCAAAAGAACAAAACGAAAGGGCTTTAAGTGTCTTCATGTTGGTCATGCTGAGGAAAGCCTGTAACATGATTTGTAAGGACTGGACGGTTTGATGAAACTGCTGCTTATCTGAAAAGCAATACTAATCCACTTTTGTTTATTTGTATGGAGTGTTTTAAAATATTAGGAGGTACTGGCCTCAAAGGCATGAAATAGTTTCACTTTCTTTAAAGTTCACAGTCTGATGTGGACTCTTATTGTTTCGTGGCTGTGCCAGATAGTTTAAAACTGCTGTAGTAACATCACTTATTACTTTTGGACCAGCTGTGGTTACTGTATTGAGTTTACAATGGTAGCAGTACATGCACTTTAAATATTTAAAAGATTATTAAAAACAACAACAAAAAAACAAAACAACATTTAGCATTCAGTCAAACGCTGGGGGAAAGACTCGTGGCGGCTTGTTGCTTCTACTTTAAGATGAAGACTTAATGATTATTTGCAAAGAGAACTTATTTTGGTCTTCTATGATGAGTGTGAATAAATGTTGGTTTGTATACATCTGTTGTCTCTTTATTTTTAGTTTCATGAAATTATGGCCCAACCATCTCTGCGATCAAAAGTCTGTTAGACGAAAAGTCTAACATTAGAGAAAAGGAGCAACTCAAACCATACATTGGGCTGTTTGTGTCTTTCTTAATGTTATTGTGCTGCCACAAACGGATACGGTTTGGCACAAATGGATACGGACTTTATTTAAGGGGACTGTAAATAAGGTCCCCTTATATGAAGGGAATCTTAATTTAAGGTTGTGTTATAAACGCAAGAAAAACTGGGAAAGAGTCCATCTGAAATCACTGTCACTGTAATTCTTAGACCTATTTGTGCAATGGAAGAACTGATGTGTTTGAAATGATTTTCTTTTTTTTATTAGCAATAGTAACAAATTGTACAGAAGATTCCTGTTCAATCTAAATCTAAATTTTTACCCTCCCAGTCTCTGGTTTTCAAAGTTCAGTCAGTACCTTATTCCTGTAAGGAAGGATAGACGGACGGATTGGTGGCTGATTAGTATGACTGATGATGGATGGACGGTAGAGAAAGCTTGACCAATGGATGGACATATTGACTGATAGATGGACAAACACTTCAGGGAGTGTCTTATTTTTCTTTTTGTCTATCCTTACTTATTCAAAACTAGAAAATACTTCAATTTCTAGACTCTTGCGTCCAGCAATATCTTTGTTGCCAAATAAGCCCGAGTGGGGACGATATTGTTGTCCTTGACAACAGGTCAGGGGTTTGGACTTGTGGCTAGGAAACCCTTAGCTCTCTCGTGGAATTTTGTTATGCAACAGATTGGATCGCTCTTTGCCAGCCGCCTGGAGAGGACTGAGTGTGTGACTGATTACATCAACGTCTGTGTGGACAACAACATCCCCACCAGAACAGTGAGATTGATGGAGAAGCTCACAGGCTTCTAGCAAAAGGAGGATCAGAAAGCTGGAAGTATGGACAGAACAAATGAGCTGAACACATTCTTCAGCAGATTTAGTTCAGGAAAATGCTCTTGAAAGTCCAAAAAGACACAGACGGAGGACTCAAAATGCGACAACCTGACAATGTTGTCTGTGAATGTCACGAAGACAACATTAAGCATTCACTGAAATGCTGGGAGAAAAAAAAATACATATATTTATATTATTAGACCTGTAGTAGTTTGTGGCCTTCACTTTTAGGCTGAAACTACATTTTCTGGACATATATGGTGAAATATTTGATTATGCTGAATCTACACCCTGAAGATAAAACCTAAAAAAATAGTAAAACAAAAAAAAAATCTTAAATATATTTTTATTTTAAAGAAATTACAACATTTTTTAATATTTTAATTAAAAATTAAACACATTAAATATTTATTGTATTTAATTAAATATTAAAATATTACATTTGAAAAAAAATTATATTTATTTATTAAAAATAAAACCTCAAGATGCAGAAAGCTCCTGATATCAACAACTTGAACGGATTTGTGAGTCGAGGAAACATTTTTCTTTACCTGGAAAATTCAGGTGGGCTCATGCAAACCGTGTTGTGTAAGCCACATATTGGCAGCGCAAAGAAAACTAGGTCACCAAACATGTTTTTATTCTCGCCGTGTTTCCAGGAAAGCTTGCCGAGGAACACCGCAGCAGATGTGCCGCTTCACTCGCGGCACACCAGAAATAGCCTTATCAACGCTTATTTGAGAGTAAATCTCATAGTAGCAAATGTTACTACCCCACCGGTGAGTAAATCCACAGTGGATGTCTCATCCTTCTTAAAACACTGGATACGATGCCATCTGAGGTCAAATACAATCTTTAATTACATGAATACTTTTAAATAAGGACTCCTGAGAGTACACTGATTCAATGTACAGTTACTGTAGGAATAAAGCAGCTGCATGAAGGCCTTCCATTCACTCCCAGTTCACATTCAGCATCTAATGGTTTTGGGGCGTTGCTCTGATTTGGAAAACCGGCACAACGCCGCAAAAACAAAGTCTGCTGGTGTCAATTCTTTGATTTCTATCTCTTGTCAGTTTTCACTTTCCTTCAACGATAGGCAAGGAGGGTTGATGCAGCTTCGTGGCACCCGGCGCACATGTCCAGATCATCGTCCTGCTGGACATCACTGGCGTTAAGAGACGGCGAGAAGAGCGCAAATGTCTGTTCGGGGTCGTTTCTGCGGGTTTGCCCCATTAGCGGCTTTGAATATTCAACACCCTCGTCCCAATAGCCGATGGATACAGACCAAGTCTTAGAAAAAGTTCATCACTTCGTAGTATTATTGCTACCGAACAGCTGAAAGAGAGTGTTTAGTTTAACGTCCACGGGATTTTGCTTGCTCTGGATTCAGAGCTCCGCCTGTTTGCAGGTGACATTGTTCTCTTCATTTTCGGAAGAACTTCAGGTAGATCACAGCACCCAGAATGCCCAGCTCCATCAGAATGATGACGGCCAACAGCAGCTTGTTCGTCATCAGGCTATGGGATGGGAAGGAAGCACACAAAGGTTACGTTGTCGATGAACTTTTACCAAGGAAATCAACTTATCAGCTTAAAAACACAAAGGTAAAAATTAGAGGAAGCTGAAAAGCAATCTACATCAATAAAAGATGAATTTATGCTGAGGCTGCTTTACGTGGTGATATTAACTGGAGAGTTAATCTGGGTCGTGTTACTCACCGTCGTGACATGGAACGAAGGATTTTTCTACTCCGGCTGAGGTTCTCTCCTGTATTCATTAGCTGAACGGAGAAAAACCAAAACACGTTTTTAAATAAGGTACATTCGACGTGTCGTCATCTAGCAACAACACCACAGTCAGTTTCTCCTCTACCATCATGCACTCATTGCCACCTGGCTACATTTTCCTGCATAAATGACTCACTCTGTCTCTGGTCCGGTCCAGCTGCTCCCGCTGCTCTCCCAGCTCCTCGATAATATCCGTGCCGATCTGATCCGTCTCGGCGGCGATGCGCTGGCTTCGCTCGATGCTCTGGCTGGCGTTGTTCAGGTACTCCGTTCCCTGGAGTAGAAGAGCTCTCTGGGACTGCAAGTGTGTCTGCAGCATCGTCAAAACAGGGTGAATTAGATTCAATTTGGACAAAAAAAACCCAAAACAAAGTGAATGTTTTTTTTTTGTTTTTTTTTTATGCTCACACTTTGTTGATTTTGAGACGAGTAAATGCTCGGATGGCTTCCCTGGACTGTCTGGGACGAGGAGCTGAACCCTGGCGCCGAGGTTTTCATGTCCCTCTGCAGCTTGCCGAGATCCCGGCGGTAGAGGCGCAGCTTTGCACTCATCGCGTTTCTGTACGAAGAAGGAGCACCACGCAACTCCTCTTCCATTCCTTGTAACTGGAGCGGAAAAAAAAAAGACGAGCAATGCCACGAAACATAGGAAGATCTGACTCTCTAGGCCGCATGCGTCAAACTCAAAGCCCGGGGGCCAAATCTGGCACACCGTAGATTTTTATGGGGGCCCCCTAGACTCCAAATTACATAAATAATTCCCTCCAGTTTTTCACAAATCTACAAAATTCACACAAAAATCAACAAATGCCCCTTTTTTTTCTCTCCTGATTTTACAGCAAATTTTCTTAAAAACTGTGAGTGATAAAGAGTCACATTTAACATCATGCATTAGTGCAAACATTGTAAAAATTACAAACATTTTGAATTGGCACCACAGAATATGCAATTATAATTAAAAAAAACATTAAAACAATCACAAAATCCTGAAGGAACAGCTATTTATTGATATTTTAACAATTTAATTGGTTTTATCAATGTATTGTGGCACAACGGGCCTTTTAAGAACGCTCAGATTTTTGATACGGCCCAAAATGAAAATGAGTTCGACACCCTCACTCTAGACCAGGGGTGTCAACATCCAGTCCTCGAGGGCCGGTGTCCTGCAACTTTTAGATGTGCCTCTGCTGCACCACCTGAATAGAATAATTAGGTGATTAGCAAGGCTCTGGAGAACTGATCAACACAAGGAGGAGGTAATTAAGCCATTTCATTCCTGTGTTTTGTACTTGTGGCCCTCGAGGACTGGAGTTTGACACCCCTGGTCTAGACGATGAAGTCATCCTATTCTGCAGCTACGAGGTTTCTCATTTAAAGGGGCAGAACATTTTCAGTGTCCAAAACAAGTATTCACGCCCCGCTTTTACAAATATTGTTGCTTTGCCAACACAAACATTCAATTTGACTGGCATCAATTAAATATATGTACAATCAATAGGGCATTTTTATGAAATGGAAAGAAAGGCTGCTTGAGTTTAGACAACAAAAATGTTGAAAAAAACTGTGGAAGGCATTTGTATTCATCCCCCTTCACTCTAAATACAATTCACTGCAACCGATTAACCTAGTGAGCAATGATGGCAGTTCCAAAGAAGCAGATCAGAGTTAATGAGAAGATGGATTGAGTTAAATTAGGGCTGCACACCGCAAAATCTTTGTTGAATATTGACAGTGAAATGGTGATCTATGCTGCTGACATAGAAGGAAGGCTCTACAAAGCATTGGCCCAAATGGACAGAATAGCAATGCACTCCACACTTTCCAGATTTCTAATTTGGCATTCATTTCCTTCTGCCTTACAATTATGCACCGCTTTGTGTTGGTCCATCAAATAAAATGCCAATAAGTACGTTGGAGTTGTTGGTTTATATATGACAGATTGTCACGAAAGCAACTGCATGTGGGTGCAGAGTTTATCAAACCTAGAGAGACTCGTTTCCAATTCAGTGCATTTAAAAGGTAAACAGACAGTAACTCACCACTTCCTCAGCCTCCCCCTGTCTCTCGTCAAATGTCCTCACCAGCTTCTTCCTCTCTTCTGCATTTGAGACAGCACAAATTCAACGCACACAGCGCAGAACCTGTTTTAAATGAATTATGCTGGTTGGGTGTTCACGGTGTTTACCTCCGTGGCTGGTCAAAGCCCTCTCCGGAATGAGCTTCAGCTCGTCATACAGCGACCTGTACATCTCATGCAGCTTCTCAAACTCTTCCGACGACATTTCGACTTTAAACGTAGGTCCGCTGGGGCCTATGGCGAGACTCCGGCTTTTCGAGCAAGACAGAAACAATTGCGAGCTGAAGAAAATCCGACAGTTTTGCTTCGGCTATAATCAGAACCCCGAGACTCTTCCGCATAACGACCCGCGTGACGCGCAGCGCCTTTAACTTCTCAACAAGTATATAAATGTCATGTGGTTGTGTGCTAAATATGGTGAAATTCAAAGTTTATATTAGTGATAGCTTCTGATATAAATTTAATAATAAATGCTGTTCAATAGTAGCGTGAAAGAGCTGAGGCTTTTTTGTTTTAATCAGGCACTAACGAGGGCAGCCGTAGTGAAAATTATTGGGAAGTGTAGTTTTCCAGAAAGTGTGGTTTCGTCGCAGTTTTTCCTCTTCCCTTTATACTGAAGTCAATATGACATTGATAGAATGTCGATATGAATTAAAAATGAAACATTCAAACACTGGCATTTTAAAGTTTAAACTTAAATAACGAATATCTTATTTTTATTACTGTGATTCAGAATCAGTTAGGAAAGTCAGTGGAGCTTGCCAATGCCTTTGTCAATGATTTATAAATTAAGTTAATTAAAGGTGATGGGTAATGCTGTTATTAATTGACAATGAAATGCAATATTTTTTATTCATTCTTTCTTCTTTAGAATACAGTGGAGCAGAAAAACCTAGATGTACTGCTTGTTTGTTTGTTTTTTTGTGCCAATGGAAAGTCTTTATTTTGACACAAAAAGTAGTCCATATTATTTAGAAAGAAAACAAATATATATATATATATATATATAATAACATTAACTACATGTAATATAGTTACATACAGTGAATGTAAAGACTGTGATTAAGTTGGGTTCCTTACCTTTAACTTTAATTATGTATCTCATAAGTTGTTATTAAAATGTGATGGTCGTAATTACCTTCACACACGTTTGTGTTTTTGTTGGGTATTTTTTATCCCTGGCCTTAAAAACTACAATCCCATGATCCCGTTCGCATCGTGAGTCCGTTTCCCTCCCGTCTCGCTTTGCACCCCGTCCTGCTTTGACATCAGCTGTTCTGCCTACACACATCAGTTGCATCTTCTAGAAGGGGACAGCCAGACTCAGAGATCCGCGGCGTGATGTTCGTCTTATTAATTATCGCGGGCCTCGGAGTGGTGACGCTTCTGGTGATTTTATTCGCCCCACATATACGGTGAGTGCCTTTATTCTGCTGGGAATCCACATTCCCGGCCAGATGATGCTGTGGACCAGATATTGCATCGCACTGATGTAATTAGTTCTACATTGTCCATTTGTCCCCGTTGGCCCGTTTCTCTTCTGCGTTTGAATATATCTGTTTGTTTGTTTTTTAAATTATCATTATTATTTTTATTCAAATGCACGATTTGTAAGTTTCCTGCACAATGAAGGAATGTGGGAGCTGGAAATCAATGAAACGGATTGATGGAGTGTTTGCACGGAGGTGATCCGGCGGTCTTCCGCCTGAGCTGCTGGGGCCTATCAGGAGGCTGCGCGTGGGAGGAGTTGTATCTGTATGCATCACTCCGACGCGCCATTGGTCGCTGGGCGGCGCCGCGCGCGGTGGCGTGGGGTTCACGCGGCTCGGAAAGCTCAACGTCGCTTCGCTCGGTCCAAGTTTTGCCATGAATAATTAACCCGTCCAGCTCAAGTTTTTAAACTGTGGCACTTACGTGGACGTCACGAGCCGCTCTGTGTTTCCGAACAGAAGGTATGCGGCGGGAGCGGCGTGCAAGTCCACCGCACGTCTGGACGGGAAGACGGCGCTCATCACCGGGGCCAACACAGGCATCGGGAAAGAGACCGCCCTGGACCTGGCAGTGCGAGGTGGGCTTACGTTTGGGGTCCACTTCTTTTATCGAATTCTGAAGAGTAACAATATTTCTAAATAATACAATTCATCATAATAACTAGAATTGCATCTTGGACACCTGCTAAACAACACAGCATTTGTTAAAGGGACAGTATTGTGTGAAATGGAGTCAGAAACATACCTGGGAGTGTTGCCTCACTTCTTTAATGCATGTTTGAGGAGCCCTCTAGCTCATACCCCACACCCCTTGAGATTCCACCACTCAGTTCCTTCAGACTAGCCCGCAGCAATTAGCAAACACCGGGTGGAACTGCACATCTGCTGAGCTCATTATACAAGCTACTTGTAGGTGAAATGCTGGTTTAAAAACTCCTGGAGGCGGAGTTTCAGAAAGAGCAGGAGCTTCTTAAAGAGACAGAAACCTAATTTCAAGACGTTAAATTACAAAGTAAAGTTTTTTTTAAAAATTATGTTTAACATATAGATTTTCTATAACTGTAGAAGGTAACACAGTAACTTGATTGTTCTCTATAATGGCCCTATTTGTATAGAAACACATAATTCCACTCAGAGCCGAGTCCTTGTGGATCGGTTCTCTTACATTAGATTCATTCTGATGCTTTCAAATCGTTTTTCTGCCTCTCCTCTCTTGAACATCTCAGGTGCTCGGGTGATCATGGCGTGCCGAGACGTGGAAAAGGGCGAGGAGGCCGCCGCCAGCATACGAGCCGTGTACTCGGAAGCCAAAGTGGAAGTGCGGGAGCTGGATTTGGCAGACACCTGCTCCATACGAGCGTTCGCTCAGAAGTTTCTGAGAGGTGAGCGAAGCAGAAGCGGCGGTCTTAACGATCGCACTTAGCTGAAACTCGTCGTCATTTAACGCGACGTTTTGTCTTTGTTCAGAGGTCAACCACCTTCATATACTCATCAACAACGCAGGAGTGATGATGTGTCCCTACACGAAAACAATCGACGGCTTTGAGATGCACATCGGAGTCAACCATTTAGGTGGGTCCAAAACAAAAACGTGCCGGAGTCACAAATTCTTTCACAGAGACGAAACTGTTTCGTGCGATTTCGCATCAAAGTAAAGTTGAAGAGATCTGGATCAATTTATTGGCCCACCTTCAGATTCGATTGCAGACAAACATCCAAAATGTCTTATTGAGAAATGGGGACTGGCCAAAATGTCACCGTTTTCAAAACCGACTTTTGAAATTGGCTAAAACAAAAACTCTGATGGATGCATTTGTAGTCATTTGTCTTCCTATTAAAGGAGTTATAAAATTGATGGTGCAAAAAAAAAATGATATAGCTACGTTAGCTTGAATAACTTTAATTAAGTTATCATATATTTACCTATTTACTTGGGTAAATTAATTTTTATTTCCAGAAAACATTCAGCGGTTCTGAAATTTTAGTCAGTGAAGGTTTTATTCGGGCATTTTTATTTACTTTGTCTTAATCTACACATATCTTGCGTTTCAACGCTTTTCCATTTGATCCACGGACCAGCATCGCGAGTTCATAACAACGACCCAAAGTACTTCACCAATGGCGTTGGGTCTTGTGCATTTCCCTCAGGCCACTTCCTGTTGACGTACCTCCTGATCGGCCTGCTGAGGCGCAGCGCGCCGGCCCGCATCGTGGTGGTCTCGTCGCTGGCGCACAACTTCGGCTGGATCCGTTTCCACGACCTTCACAGCCAGGGCAGCTACAACAGCGGGCTAGCATACTGCCAGAGCAAACTGGCAAATGTGCTGTTTGCCAGAGAGCTGGCCCGCAGGCTGAAAGGTACACAGACGGTCAAACAACACATGGGAGAACGGACAGATGACCGCTACACTCAAAAAACAACAAAAAGTTAGAATGGGGATGCTTAAAAAAAAAGAGAGAGAACAAAGTGACTGAAATAAATAAAATAATGATTCACGTAGCTTTCGGTAAATGAATACAAATTACTTTTTTTTTTTTTTAAATAAAAAGGTCAGATGAATGCCACAGGCAAAAACAAACTGCTGAAGAAACTTTTGGGTTTTGCTGCGTTTGATCTGGGTTTAACGGCAGGGAAACGTCATCGGAGGCAACGCCGTTCAAATTCCTCCCACTGTAATTTGCCGAAAGTCCCAGTTTGTGAAATGAAACTAATTTTCCTTCATTTCGATTTGGATTGTGTTCATTTGATCTGGACGGTTTGGCGGGAGGAGCAGTCCATCGAGTTCGACTTGAGCTGAATGTCATCGACTTTTGGCGGGAAAAAGCACTTTTGACCCAAAATTTCAACTTAAACTGTAATTCTTAATAATATAAAATGTAAAAATAAAAAGCAAAACTTATTAAAAAAACTGAAAAAGAAAAAAAGTAATAGTGCACAAATGGCACTTTTGATTGAAGGTAAGAGGAAAAAGTGAGCTTTCAAAGACAACAAGGCTTCTTGGTTTAATTTCCGTGGAGGAAAACGTTAAGATATTTTTAAAAATGAATAACAAATAATCGCGGTACGGAGCCCAGATGTCTTTCAGTTCCAGGTTTCGAGTTCGAATAGACGATCTGCCGCCGTTTTGAAACCGCGTTTCGCCTCCCCAGGCACCAACGTGACGGTGAACTCGGTCCACCCGGGCACGGTGAACTCCGACCTGACCCGACACTCGACCCTCATGATGATACTGTTCACCGTCTTCTCCGTGTTCCTGAAGACGCCGCTGGAAGGAGCCCAGACCAGCGTGTACTGCGCCGTGGCCGAGGAGCTCCACTCGGTGTCCGGGAAACACTTCAGGTAGGAGGCGGACGGAATCGACTTATATGTGTCAAAAAAACACACAACCCACATTAATTGTCAAAAGTAGGAGTGCGTGGATTAAATCCCTTTAATATTACAATTTATGTCGCCATTTCGTCCATTTCGATACAAGTAGTTCAGGAACTGTTTTGAATTTTGCCAGTAAATCTTATTTACAGAGAAGATATTAAATGTAATGATTAAAAAAAAAAAGTGATGAAGCTTTCTGATTTTGTCACAATCGTGAATCATTCCATCGATCCGAATTGGTCTGTTTTGTGTGTCTGGATGAATAAATGAGTTCCAAGTTGCCTCATGGCATTCTGACTCGGAAACCCAAAGTCAATATCTGACCCAAAATCTAAACTAATTTTCATCTTTTATTTAATACTTAAAAAAAAATCTAAATGAAGGATCAGCGTAGTTTTAACTACTTGAACTTTTATCGATATTTGTGTAGTTTCCTGGTATTTATCGTTACATTTTGTGTCTTGGTG